GACTGTCCCTATTTTATATCCCCGACCCTAAACTTTTTTTTTTTGGCAATTTTCAAATTTCTGGAATTTCCCTGGATTTCCCTCATTGGCTCCGGTATTTGTTTTAGTTTCAGCAATGGTGGCTTCTTTGACAACATCGTTTCAACACACAGTACAAGTGTTTGTCAGTTACAAATGTCACCACTTGAAAGAAAGCAATAGTATTATCTCACCAATTATCACCAATAGTTAATTCAAGAACATTCAATGATATTTTTGACGTTAAAAAAAAAAAACTACCTACCTACCCTAATTTGTTTGGAGGTGTAACCAGAACCACACATATTTTTTTATTTGGCCTTATTTATTTGAAAACATATCATTAATCAACCTAAAACAGAACTCGAAAACAAAAATCTAGAAAAATATAAACAACTCTATTTTGTTATTTTTTTTATTGTGTGGTTTTAATGTATACACCATCTAAAAGCAATTATTATGTACTTGTTTATTATTTTGTTAAAATATCTATTGATTTAATCACATTTTGACAAAACATTGTTTTCAAAACATCATTTCTGTTTTAAAAGCCATTCCGTAATTTTGAGATCTTTCCGGATTGGTTCCAATATTATACAAGTAATTGGACTTCCTATGATAAGTATTGGAGATTAAATAAACGAAATGTAGCAGACTTGTGCAGATTCTAATACAATGTAATTGGATGTTTATTGTTATCGATTTCTTTTAATAAACTCGAAAAGTTTTGCTGGCTCAGCCTGAAATTTATTACTTTCTCGTTTGGGTAAGTTTATCATGAAAACTATCTTTCCAGAGATGAATTTCACTTGCCCCGGGCAACGGGAAAGCGCAATTCTAGACCCCTGTTTTGGTTTCCTTTTGGGTAAATCAATGCACCGTGTTTACTTGGGTTGTAAGCAAATTTATAATATGCTACCACCAAGTCCGGCACAATCTCTTGATAAAGCTATATAACTTGAATTAGATATATAACTTTATTAAGCTATTCAGAATAGGTAGATTTAGCTATTTTATCAAACTTTTTTTCTTAAATGTGTTGTTTTTTCAGCGTGTACAAATTGCATCTCCTTGAGAGAGTTTGTAATCAAAGTTCTTAAAGTTTTGGGGCTATATACAGCGATTGATTTCTTGAATGAAATTATAAAGGAAGTCAATTCTGGTCAACAAGATAATTGATTGGTAATAATTCAGCACAATGTAAAGCAATCATACTTATCCATGCCTTAACACACTCAAGGTGGTGGATAGAAATACCTCTTTTCAGTCTTTTGCATAAAAGTATTCAAAAGCTGCAGTATTAGAACTATTTTTGATAAGTGTTGCTTTTTTGATAGTCCATAGTATATATAAGGATCGTTAAATATTTGCGACTTTTTGACTTCTTACAAAAAACATTTTTGTGAAAAACTGCATATAAATAATTTTATCAAGCTATTCTAAATAGCTTATTAAATAAAGCGATATAGCTTTTAAATCATGAGATTGTGCTGGACCTGACCACAGAGAGATAACCATGGTACATTTTCTACGGAAGAATAAAGCAAAATGTTTTATTTCATGATACTACATTAATCACAATATAATAGTGCATTCCCATATTCCAATCAAAGGAATCGTTCACTAACTAATTAGGATTCAGAGTTGTGAAATCTCAAACAATGGAGTAACAATTCCACGCATGCGCAGTGTACGCCAAATACAAACCGCGTCGTGTTGGTCTCAAATTTTAAATAAATACGTTTGATGCGAGATATTTTTCAAAATTATCGTAAGCAAAACTAAATTTGAATATACTTTTATAAAATTTAACTGGTAAAGCAACTTCTCTGCGATGCAATGCTCTGAAACAAAACATCACTCCAAGATAAAAAGCACGCGGTTCTCACCGTTCATCGTCGTCCTCCAGTTTACCCCCTTCTCCACCACCTCCAGCATTATAGTTTGTTTCTTGTCCTTCCATGGGTTCTGCATTCTGTTGCTGTTGTTGCTCAAACTGTTCAAAACCCCCCTCACCATTTGCCTGTTGATCATATGTGTAGTCTTGATTTTCCGCCATTGTGTGCAGTCCTCCCGAAATCAGCAAAATGGCCGCACGCTTTCGGTCTTAGTCACGTGTTTTAAATTTCTATTTTGTATTGGTTCGTTCTTTGGACAGCGACATCTATGGGTGGTCAATACCTTAGCATAGCGGGATAACTGAGAGATTCGTCCTTACTGAGAAACATGAATCAAGAAATAAGGAGTGACCTTGAAAAAAAAAATTACTGGGTATGAATCTGCATTTCAATAATATTTCTGTATGTTTTTATGCTTTCAAAATACATCTTTAAAATGTTAAAAATGTAATAGTGCTATAAACTGATAAAAGCCATTTTATTTCTATATTATTTCTATATAGACCGGCACCTATATATACATGTATGTATGTATATAATATATATATATATATATATATATATATATATATATATATATATATAGTAAGATTCGAGACTAAGTTCCTTAATTTTACAAAGCATGTAGGGCTGATGGAGACAGACATATTTCTGGAGAGGAAAATAGTTTTAGGAAAAATATTGATTTTATAATTCTTACTTGACTTGCTTAATGTTCTGAAAAAGTTAAGATAATTAACTGAGTGCAAATGTAGAGGCGAGACTGAATATATATAGTACTAATATGGAAAACGCAAGGCCGGGGTGGATTCTAGCGCATGCCAAGAAAAGGTACGCATTCTAGTTTTAGAGCGAACTCAATAAAAGCGGAATTAGCGTTAATCGGTGATTTTTCCCCAGGGAGATGTGTGCGAGGCAATTAATGTCAGCAGTTTTGAGGGAAGGATCTTAAGTTTTACTGGTTTGAAATTAAAGCTAGAATACTTATTATTTAGAACCCTTTGCACCTTTTTTCTTGTTTTTTTTTTTTTTTTTTTTTTTTTTTTTTTTTTTTTTTTTTGAAGGGGGGGGGGGTGCGATTTTCCATGCAAATCATATGCGGTTAAAAAAGTAAAAAAAAAGAAGAAAAAGAAAGTGAAATATATTGTAGTGAACTAATTAATTGTTCAGTAAAAATTAAACGCCTTTCAAATTTTTCAGTGTTTATATATCAAAATATTTTTTTTCCTATTATAAATTAAGATCGGGCACGATGAACTTGGTTGTTGTGGAAGTCTTATCAAGGTATCATACCGGTAATTGACCAATGAAAATGAACTTGTTCAATTGTAGTTCCATACCTATAAAATTATTATTTTTTCCTTTTGTGAATTTTTTTTTATTTCCTTCCAGTCTATTTTTACAATTTTGGTACCTGTGTCTAGTGCATTTTACATATTTTGTAAATAAATAAAGGTTTTTGACAGGAACTATTTTTTTCAGGGCATAGGAGGCTACTTCCTGGGGTAGAAGTTTATTTTTCTTTGACTAAGAAAACGGAAAACTTAGGATCCACCCCCTCAAATCTGCTGCCGTTAATTGTCTCGCCAGCGTTAGGGGAATATGGGTGATTTGCATCAATTACACTTTTATTGACTCCATCGCTGTGGAAAAATGGACGGGATTTCTTGGCATGTATCGGAAAAGACTGCGGAAAGAACAGGCAAGATTGTAAAAAAAAAAAATCTGTAAGCGTTAAAAAGAAAAACAAGACAATGAAAACATGCACTGCTATTTAATATCACCATTTTTTGAGATAAATTCGAAATAAAAGCAAAATAAATTCTAATTTCAGAATAGAAGAAGAGTGCTTGAAGCAAAATAATGGGCCATTTTAAGGAAAATGAATGACTTAATGACATATGTGAAGAAATTCCTGGTGAAAGGTTAATTTGTTGTCTTTATTTCGCTCATCTGTTCAGAAAGTTTAACCGCTATCGAAGTTGTTTGTTAATTCTTGTCGTAAAAGCATAATTTCTTGGTACATATGGAACAATGACAATCAAACTTCCCAGAAAGTTTCTATGAGTCTTAAGGAGAGTACCCTTAAATTTTGTGTCCATCTAATATCTGGTTTAAAGCAATATTCTTCGTCGCTATTGCGCTGATAACAAAGGCGGGGTGGAAGGGGTAGGCGGTTAGGTGGAAAGTAAGTAAGATATGCTTTTAGATACATGTACATGTATATATAACAACTAACCACACGGGGATTTATTATCAAAGCTGAATTGAAGGTTCCTTATGAACGGAAGGTCAAAGGTCAAGGTTACACACTCACATTATTGTCATGAGAATTGAGCAGTTCTACGTTTACATTGACCTTTGATCTTGGCCAACTTTTATTGTCAAAAGTAGAGTTCCATCACAAGTGCTCAAAAGAATCTACGATTCGTTTAGAAGTTTTAGACTTAAACGAAGAAAGTTGAAAAACTTAAGAGCCACACCTCGAAATGGGGATTATCAGTGACAAGCGTCAACTGCTTTTTTTTTAGTTATTATTTTTATTAGTTCATCCCAAAGGTAGACCGGAAAGGATTTCTTGTCATGATTGTCAAACTCAAATACCCAAGATTTTGAATCGTTTCATTTTCCAGGCATACATAGGTGATTGTAGTTAAAGAGCTCCATTTCTCAATATTATACTTTCACGTAAATGAGTTGAATTTGATTCATGGAGAAACATTTGTTTAAAAATATGGTTATCCTCTAAATTATGAAACATATACCCGTCCCCAATTTACCAAAAGAAATATTCAATCAATTAGATATCATAATTCTTCGTTACAGTTAAGAGTAAGATTAAAATTATAAAAATTCAATAGAATAAATATAGGAAGTCCTGTAAGACAATGTGGAAATGAAAATTTAACTTTGCACTGTCATAAAATCTTGTGTATATGGTGGTAATCATAGAAATGATTCAAACATAGATTTTTTTAAAAATCTTTTTCATACTGGGATATTATCGGGCCTCTCCGACAAGTGTTATTCCGAGCTTTGCCGAAAAGACCCGATTGAATTTGGTATAATATATTCCACCGGGCTCGGTGTCCAAATTTCTTAAACGGAAGTTTAAAGTTCCTAAGCAACACAGAGCACAATTGTGTTTGGCGCATACGGTATGTAACGAGACTTTGTATATATATTTTCCTGAAGAAAAAATGTAATATTAGCTTAATTGTTTATTATAATACAGTGCAAGGGATAAACATATCTCTTTTAACATTTATGTACGGTTAATAAATATCATTTTCGATACTTTGGCCATGTTTATCAGTATTTATGCTTTAAAAAGTATACAAATGGGACTCAGTATTTTCGTGAAGAAGGAACATAGGTTAAATTTCTTAGGAGGCTAAAGTATACTCATTATTGACAATGAAATTTCAGGGAAAACATGGCTGCCGCAGTGGCATCACAGGCCCAAGGCATTGAAAGTAAAATCAGGACTCTTGCACAAACCAAACGCATCAGGATCAAAGACTATTTTCAAGATTTTGACAAGCTTAAAGGAGGTGGAGTCACAGGTAAGATGGATTTAATTATTTTTTATATAATTAAAGGATTTCATTACACCTATTATTTGTTATAAATGCCAAAGTCTATATTTCAATTATGTATACTTTTAATTTCCAGAGAACCAGTTCTTCAGGTGCCTGTGCAGTGCTTTGGGTTTGCAGATTGACTCAAAAGATGCTGAAGCTCTTAAACAAAGATACATGAGAAATGATGGCTTGCTTAATTACATGCAATTCTGTAATGAAATTGATTTAAATTTCAACCCCAAAAACCTGAAAAGGGACCCCAAAGAACAAACAGTTGAAGTCCCAGAGTTGTAAGTTTTTGTGTAGAATTTGAATATATTTATAATTAAAAATGTGTTAGGTGATTTCAACAACAAGAAGGAGAAAAAAGCGTAAACTTCAATTGTTTAAGCTGCTGCATATTTCCGTGTATTTTATGATGTTAGTGAATATTCTTATAGATTGATTCATGTTTTATTTTGCAGTCTTGGAACAATAAGATCCGTCAGACCACTGAGCGCTAGTGAAGAACAAAAATTGTTAATGCTCCTGGAGAGAATGCAAAAGTTCTATCAGTATCATGGAATCAATCTTAGGACATGCTATGAGGATTTTGACAGACATCACATGGGGGTTGTAACTGAAAGCCAGGTAAAGATACTTGCCAAAACACACACACACCAAAAAAAAAACAACAACAAACAAACAAACATAAAAAACTACAGCAGAAAAACCATTTTATTTTTAATGCTTGACTATGCTACATGTAAATATACCGGGTATTAAAAGACAAAATCTTAAAATAATGTAGATTATACACAGAGTGTTTTTCCGTAATCAGTGCATACAGCATAAGCCATTTTTTTCTTAAATACAGTTCCATAGGCAATTCCCAGGCCCACCCGATGTAAATGACAGTGAGATGGCACTGCTGGTTCAAAAATATAAAGATCCAGAGAAACCAGGTCTGCTAAACTATTTAAATCTCCACCATGATCTGGTGGCCATACAACAACAAATTGCTGCCCAGAAAGAATTACCACCAGTGAGATCCCAGAAACAAATGGACCATGTTCCCATCATTGTAAGTTGAAATGGATTTTTTTAAAGACTGTTATTTTTTAATTTCATGATGTCCATGTTTAAATTGTTGATACTTCAATTGATGGTTCTTATGTCAGACATGTTTGCAATTTTTATGAGCTAAAAGTACACAAAGCTTTAATTCTACGAAAGAGAGAATGAATAAGTATCAAATAAATATAAATTCTATTGATCAAATATTTGACATATCTATTTCTTCATGCACTTTCCAAAGTGCATTTCACCAAAGATGATTTCATAACTATAAAGTGAACCATTATAACTTTTAGCAAACTGGAGACCCAGCATTGAACGAGATTTTTGAGAAAATCAGGGTAGCTGTGTTTAAAAATGGAATCAGAACAACAGAATTCTTTCGGGACCATGATAAGTTGAGGAGTGGAATTGTAACAGAGAGTCAATTCAAGTGTGGCCTGGCCCTGGCAGTGGGGAAGGAGGCCCAGCTGTCCCGAGCAGAAATCCAGAAAGTTGTAGAATATTACAGGGTTGCTGAAGACAGGGTCCAATACAGAGAGTTCTGTGATATGATGGAAAATGGTGAGTTTTTTTAATAATTTTTAGATACATGAGTTAATTTGCAGAATGAAAAATTTGATAATCAGAATTTTAGAATTGATTATTTGGTTTTTGAGAAAATAAAGCACTGAATTAGGGGCATGTGATGGAAGTGTACTGGCTGGCTTTTTGTTTTGCTTTTTTTTTTAAATAATGTTTAAAACTTCATTTAACTAAAGTTGAGAGTAATTTCCTTTAAACTTCTTGCATAACTGTTACTTTACTGATCATAGCAATAGTTATGATGTACATGTCAAACTTGAAAGCTTTCTTTTTGATGTTTTTTTGAGGTCAAAAGATGTGATAGAAATATGGGCATTCTCACAATATGTCAAGGGTCCGGAGTCCACTTGTAGCTGTGGGACCCCTGAAAACTTTATTTGTTTTCTTTTGGTCAGTTACTCTCTTTGGGAAGCAATAATCAAACTGGGGCTTTCATGAGTTCACATAAAATGTAAACAGAAAGTACCGGTAAGCAATTGACACATCAATGCATGTGTTGCAGATTATTTGTAATAGAAAGCCCATAAAATCAATCAATAAATTTGCCATGGTCCCATAGCCATGAGTGGATTTAGGACCCTTAACATTGTGAGGATGAAAAATGGGTGGGGTTTATTGTTGCACAATTTTCATACATACAGTATACTTTTTAACTCAAGTTCAACTGCATCCCATCATGAGAATGAAATATACAAAACTATTTTTCAAAGGTCAAGGTCATCTGAGGTGATGCTTCAAAACTGACAACCGATGACACTTGTTTTATTTAGTTATACATGTAACTTGAATAAATCATATCCAATTTAAATTCTAACATACTTAATTGTATTTTGATAGCTTTCAACATCCCAGATCTGGAGAAGAAACCTTTACAAAATGTTGTTCGTCCTCAGCGGGGTGCATTGTCTAGGGTTAGTCTCTTTTTACCAATATTCAAGTTTTATCAAGCTTAAAATTCTCTCAATAAAGTGGAAATCACCTCAAATTTAGTTTGATTTAATGTTTGAAAATCTCAGACTATGATAAAGTTTTTCTTCTTTAACTGGAACATATTTTTTTAGACATTAAAAGCATTAACTGATGAAGAGGAGAGACAATGTGAAGAAGTTCTGCAAAAAATTAGAGAGCAAGTCCAGAGGAGGCGGTTAATGATATACCCCTACTTCAAAGATCATGACAGGGTAAGTCACTTAGCTATCATGTAAAGGCATGTGTCAATTTTACTTAAAGATAAACTTAAAGTTCTTTACACCTTTACCATCCTTTGCTGCCATTTTTTAATGTCCACTGTGTTTTTCTTGCATTCATATTTATTTGAAGCAAAACAATTAACTTTTTCAGGGTGTGGCCTACACTAGAGTGGTTACCCCAACACAGTTTTCCCGAGTTCTTCACTACCTGAGCCTAAATGTCAACCCAGAGGAACTTAAACTTCTGCTGAGAAAATTCCAGGACCCTGCTAGCGGTGATGTCAACTACCCAGCCTTTGTTCAGACAGTAGATAAAGGTAGGTATACCTATTCATTATACATACATTTCAAAATCAGATACTTATTACCTTGATGCATGAATTCCTACATGTATGAGAGGTATCTATATTAAAAAGTACCTGATGTTACTCCTTTGTTTGACAGAATTTGTTGGCCACACCTTGGAGGATGTGAGTATGATTGACCAGACAAGAACTAATGTTCCTGTGGTAGAGAAAGAAGTAACAGCTGCTGATAGCAGTGTGTCATTTGAAGAGATGATGGCCAGAATCCGCCATATTGTGCTTACCAACCGTCTCAGAGTAAGATTCTAGAATACTTCAAATAAGGGAACTCTATGAAAAAAATATTTTATTTAAAATGGTTTTTCTTTTGTACATGTGTCATAATTATCTTCATTTCATAACGAAATATATTTTTGGAAATTTTTTTTTTAAATAATTGCATTTGAATTTCACTTGCAGGTGATTGAATTCTTTCAAGACTATGATCCTCTAAGAAGTGGCTACATTAGTAAGCAGCAGTTCAAGCGAGGCTTGGCTGTCATGGGGCTGAGTAAGCTCGGCTCTCAAGACCTCACTGAGGGACAGTTTCAGATGCTGGCTAAATATTACGAAAATCCCAAGTCTCCAGACAAAGTCTGCTGGAAGCAGTTCCAAGATGATGTAGAAACAGGTAGGTTTACATAAATTGTGTGTTAGTAAACAGTTAAAATCAAATAAGAATTTTCAACACTGATTTACAGAGAATTGTAAAATTGAAAATGTTAAATAATTTGTGTACATTTTTAGCTCAAAACATTTATAATGTAAACTTTGTTTTGCTTCAGTTTTTACACAGCCAGGCCTGGAAAAAGCCCCTACATATCAGGTGCCCAAGTCAGAGATGTTCAGAGTTCCCAAACCTGGCACAGTCAATTGGGAAGGAGCTGGGCAAGACCATGCTAACCTGGTGGCAGAAACCATGAACCGCCTCCAACAGAAGGTCAACCAGAGAAGGATCCTGTGTAAACCTTGCTTTCAGGATTTTGATAGGTAAATATATGTAATAATTTCAATTAAGTTTGCTTGCACATGTACTTTAGTGTTGACTAGCATTCTTGCATATATTAACCTGATGTTTTTGAAAGCTCTTTCATAATTTCAATGTTTAGAGAAATCTTTTAGTATAATATTTTTTTTTAAATTTGATAAATTAAAGAAAAAGATCAATTTTAATAAATATGAATATGTATGTTGATGATTTCAGGCACAATAATGGTCATGTGACTAAGACCCAGTTCCGTCAATGCTTGACCTACTTACAACTGCATGCCAATGAAGAAGAAATGAAAGCCTTGGAAGCAAAATTCTGCAATGACATGGGCTTCAATTATATTGCCTTCCTGCAGGAACTTCAGCCCTACACACCTCCTGACTTCATGTATGAGAAGAGATTGGAAGAAGTCCGCCTGACCAACGCCAAGACCAAACTGCCTGAAGTGGACCCCGTCCCTGATCTCGAGGGTGTACTTACAAAGGTCAAAACCAAGGTACATTGTTCTTAGTGTCTTTTTCTTTTTTAAGTACAGATAAACTAATGCTTAACTTTGAGCTCTTTTTATATACTTTTGAATGAGAAATGAGAGGTTTTAGAAGAAAATAAATGTTAATCATGTCAGCAATAAAGCAAACAATATGAGAAATAAGTAATGAATTTGTGTTAACTGTAATTTTATACAGGTATCCAGAGAGAGACTCAGGGTACTAGATTTTATGAAGGATTATGACAAACTCCGTTCTGGTCGGATGCTGAAGACATCATTCAGGAGAGCCCTGGATCTATGTGGATTTCAGCTGAAGGAATCAGAAATCTGCATTCTGGAGGATAGGTAAAATTAAGAGAATCCTTGCAAATTAATTAGTGCCCATTATTAAATTATATCTCTACAAAGGCATGAAGTCTGATTAGACTTAAAACTGCAGATTGAGTGGAAGCTCAAATTTGATGGAAAATTTAAATCAAACTTATATTTTAAAGTTGTTCTGAATCTTGAATATATCTATACTGCTAACAAAGGAAACTTCAAACATTTTATGTTAAACATAATCCTTATGATTAATTGTTGATTGTTCTTTCTTTAGATACCAGTCTAGAAAGGATCCGGATTATGTGGAATATACCCAGTTCTGTGACGAAGTGGAGTCTATTTTCACATTTAAGGAGTTGGAGAAAGCCCCACTCCAGGAAGTCATCCCATTTAAGCCACCCGAGGAATGGAAACTCAACTCATTCAAGAGTGAAGAAGAAAAGCAGAAATTTGAAGTAGCTATGCACAAAATTGCTGAAAAGGTATTACTTAATCTGCCATTTCTGATCATTTTTTTGAAATTCGGAATACAGAACTTTTCTTTTGCTAAATGAGATTCAAATCATCCAGTTTAAGAAAAAATTTCATTTTTTTCCCTTTTTTTTCTTTATTCTGTGATGATATAAAAACACAATGATGACCAAGATTTACCAGAGATGCATAACAAAATGAAGAAATAACCATTTTGTTAAATTCTTTAATAGGTTAGGAAACATCAGATGCAGTTATTCCCCTTGTTTGAGGATTATGACAGAGTACATCGTGGCTGTGTATCAGAATCTCAGTTCCACCGAGTCCTTACCGAGCTTGAGTTAGGAAGTCTCGTCAACAGACAAGAAATCGAACTCATTTCTAACTGTTTCCTCATCACTCAAGGCCGTAGGGATGTTTACTACATCGGTTTCTGTGATATGATTTATGAACTTGCTAAATTTGAGTGGAGAAAACCATAGATAACAGTTATATATCTTAAATATGAACAGAATATGTGGAGGTATTTTAAAGCATTATACCTTAAAAAAAGCATTTGTGATATAATATTGATACAGACATGTCTGTAACAGTGCTCTAAAGTTGTTAAGAAGTTTTAATATAAATGTGAAGAAAAAGCTGGAAATGTAGTGCACTGAATATTGCCCTGACTGAAGTATTATGGTACTGTTATGTATGAACTGCAAAACTTTTAATCATTTTTAACCTTATTTCTTGTTATGAATGTCACATGTAATGTTTAAGTAAATTACAAGTATTCCATTACTTATGTAAAGATTCATTTGTGAAAATAAATTGACTATGATATAATAACACTTTTTTACCAAGTCTTATTTTGTGTGTCTGTGATAGAGAGAGAGAGAGAGAGAGAGAGTCAAATATTTATCCATAAATATGCAGGATATTCCTACATGTAATTTGGTTTCAACCTTTGGGGCCTGTGTAAATATTGTTGTAGTTGCTCATGTCCCAGTCTTGCTGGAAGAAGAAGCTGTACATACAACATACATGACACAATATTAATGTATATAATTATCTGCTCCACTTTTTTTTTAGTAAACAGAATGTTCAGTTGAAGAAACAGAACACTTTTGGTAGAATAATTTGTGGACTTTTTTAAGGCTGAAAAGTAAATATCTTAACCGAGAATAGAATTAACCGTAAAAAAAAGGGGGGCGGGGTAAACAATCCAGATACATATTTGACGTTTTATCACTGTAGAACATCTGTACTTGTGGAGTCTCATCATGGCCGTAGGAACCGGGGTGGGGGGCGTGCCCCCCCCCCCCCAATAATTTTGCCGATTTATAGAATGCTATAGAAAACATAGCTACTATATGCTTGTGCCCCCTCACAAGCTTAACGCCTGATGACCCCCCCCTTTTTTTTTTTTGCTTGTCAAGGAATTTTGGTACTTGAAACCCCCCACCCCCCAAACTGAAAATGTATGCTTGTGCCCCTTCAAAGTGAATTTGCTTCCTACGGGCCTTAGTCTACAATTCTATTTTTTTTTTTTAGATCCGCTCCTTTGATCATTTAAGATAGGAGCAGTGTGTACTTACTGTAAACTTCAGTTTAAACAGCATTTTAAAAAAACGTTTTTATTTCAAATAATTATATTATTATAAGCTCTGTAATCCTCAAAATGATAGACTTGATAGTAGATACTCCAACTTCCGTGGGAGGATCGAACTAATGTACATACTGTAATATTACGTTACCACCCCAGCTAGTCTGGAGTGCATGAGTTCAGGTGTCAAACAGGATTTACAGTCTTTAAACTAAACATAAAACTCCACTTCACGCGTAGTGAACCTGAATCACAGATCAGCCAAAAAATGGTGCTCAACGTCCCCGGGTTGATCTCGGTCATCATCTTCTATATCGTTATCCTTGTCATCGGACTATGGGCAGCCCGCCGGACCAAAGGGGAAACTAACAGCGAAAATGTTATGTTGGCCGGGAGGAACATAGGGGCACTTGTTGGAATATTTACTATGACAGGTACACAAGATTTTTCTTGGTCTTTTTAACTTTTTCTGTCAGCCAAAGTTACGCTCCAGTGAGAATGTATATTTACGAAGTGGCATCCATGAGTTACCTTTGTTAGATATTCATACACATGCTTGATCTAGTTTTGAAAAATTTATTTCTGCATTAAACAGATCGGTTTTACACATGTCAGCATGGCTTGAAATTGTCATTTATTTTCATAACTATTGAAAGTTTAAATGTTTGTAAATAGTTTCGTCAAGAATAAAGGCCCGATGTCTACTTTCACTCAAATATCTTTTTAAAAGAGACAGCTGCACCTCTAACACTCCTCTTAATTTAATTAAGATTACACACTTTCTCTCTCTCAGGATAGAGTAATATCTCAAAATTAACCCCAACTTGTCAAATTTAACAATTATAGCCAGCAGGTAGTATTTTCGGGATGTGTTATTATAGATTTGATTCTGCACAAGATATAATTAAAAAGTCATATATCATTTTCTTTTCAGCTACTTGGGTTGGTGGAGGATTCATAAACGGGACGGCGGAGACAGTGTATAGTTATGGCTTGGTGAACTGCCAGGCTCCATTGGGCTATGCCCTTAGTCTGGTCATTGGTAAATATGTCTATATTCTTAATATTTTGACCTTACAACCAATCCAGTGTAAGTATATGCGTCTTTGTATTTTAAAATACCAACTTTGCCAATATCTAATTAATGCGTATAAAAGAGATTGCTAAATTACTTTACGAAACTAATATATTATCTATAATTTTTGTCATAAATAACATTGATTTATTAAGTATGATATTTCACACAACTATAACAAGGACGATTCTTTGATCAAAGGTGGGATATTTTTCGCCCGAAAAATGCGTGAAAATGGATACGTTACGATGCTGGACCCATTTACTCGAGCCTATGGAGAAAGAATGGGAGGACTTATCTACATACCGGCACTGCTGGGGGAGGTGTTCTGGTCTGGGGCCATCCTAGCTGCTCTAGGTACATACAGCTTTTATCGGTAAACCATAATATTACTATGTACAGAACTATACATATTGTCCTACGTGCTGATGTAAAGGCGAAACTTGTACTGAGTATAAAATAAACCGAATATTGTTTACAGGCAGTACCCTGAGGGTGATCATTGGTCTCTCCCACGAGGTAGCCATCATAGTGTCCGCTTGTATCGCTGTCTTCTACACTCTGTTTGGGGGACTTTACTCTGTGGCATACACTGATGTTGTCCAACTTGCCTGTATATTCATTGGTCTGGTAGATACAAAATTTTTTTTGGAGGATTATGAACTTTATAAGTAATGAAATTACTTCTGAGGGTCATGAAATAAAACAATTTAAAAGTGGTAAGAAACAAACTTTTGCCAAATGGTCATCATTTTGGCATACAAATATTTACACTGACATAAGTTTAGACACTCCAAGAAATCTTACTAAATATTTCAAACCTCATTCAAAGAATCTGAATTTTTTTTCAGTGGCTTTGCATTCCGTTTGCTTTGACCAGTGAATTCGTGGAAAACATATCTGTCAATTCTTCTACGGAGTGGATCAAAGAGGTGGATCCAATTTATGTGGGGGTGTACATGGATTCTTTTCTCCTCCTTATATTTGGAGGACTACCTTGGCAGGTTTATTTTCAAAGGGTCCTGTCAACACGAACAGCCGGCATAGCACAGACTTTATCTTTTGCTGGAGGTCTGGGGTGCCTTATTATGTCAATACCATCAATCCTTATCGGTGCCATAGCTGTCAATGCAGGTGAGATGCATATTTTAGGAAAATAATAATTTATGAACTCATAATACCTAGAAATAAAAAAAAAATTTTTTTTTTTTTGAGAGATAGATTTGCTCAATGTGTAAAATACACGTAGTTTCTCAGGAGATGGGGACCAAAATAAAGCCCCATGATAAGGGGTTGTTTTCTTACCAATGGTGCCACGCTCTGCATCCTTTGCAAAGTTCAGGTGTTAAGCCTTAAGATATTTGTCTTTTCAGATTGGTCTCGGACCGCATACGTTACCAGAGATAATTTCAACGTCTCAGATATTCCAAACAGAGCGTCTGATATTTTACCCCTAGTCTTACAGTACTTGACCCCAGAATGGGTCTCTTTCTTTGGACTAGGAGCGGTGTCTGCTGCTGTAATGTCGTCTGCTGACTCTTCCATTTTATCCGCAAGTTGTATGTTTGCTAGAAATATCTACAAAATGATATTTCGGCAGAAGGTAAAGAATTTTTCTTAGACAGAATTTTTTAAAAATTCAGGAACTTCGATTGAAAGTACTGATTCTTTGCTTGCGTTATATACGTAAATTGAATTCATAAAGATCTCATAGAGTACCAAGAGGGAAATTTAATAAATTACAAAAGTATCAAGGACTGCAAAGTTATGAAAAAGTCCATTCATTTTCATGTACTGTGCAAATCATTTAGACAGAGTAATTAGTCCCTTCTCTTTTTCAGGCATCAGAAAAGGAGATTATTTGGGTGATGCGAATCGCCATTTTTGGCGTTGGTGCTTTGGCAACTATCATGGCGATCACCGTGAAGTCCATCTACACGCTGTGGTACCTCTGTTCTGATCTCGTCTATGTTGTGTTATTCCCACAGCTTCTCTGTGTAACTTACTTAAGAACTTCCAACACGTACGGATCCCTTGTAGGGTATATCATTGGAATGTTCTTTCGGATCGCAGGAGGGGAACCATCATTAGGAATTGACGTTCTCATCAAATTTCCATACTACTCCACAGAAAATGGACAGATGTTTCCTTTCAAGACTCTCTGTATGTTGATGTCATTTACCTCCCTTGTCTTTGTTTCGTATTTGACTGACTTCCTTTTTAAAAAGAACATCCTTCATCCTCGTTTTGATATATTTAAATGTGTGGTCAACAAAGATTATCCTGATGTAGAATTGAAAAAGTACAATGCAAACCCCCAGGAAGTTTTTGCCAATCCTGGGTTTACCCAATCTAGTGGAGAAATAGCAGCAAAACAATAGGTAGCCAACTAGTGTTCTTAGTTGAATATTTTGATGTTTATCAATTTTTTTTCTATTTTTTTTTTTATTTTTTCTCTCCAAATATTGATACCACTTTCCCTGAAATACAAAGGGAATTAAAATTCGTATATTCTCAAAAACTTACTCAGTTCTGTGTAACGGTTTCTTGTGTTGATTCATTTTGCAAAATTAAAAATTAATAAACGATTCATTTTTGGATATTTTTTTTATATGCTTGTCAAAATTACCTTTCTCATATACATATGTAATGTCATTCTGTTTAGCATATTTGATGTTTTATTTGATAATTGTGTATACATGTATTTACTATATGCCAGTATTTTTTTTCTTTTTTTTATTTTTATTTTAGTTTTTATTTTTATAGCATAGATCATTCAGAACAATAAAGTACTCAAAAAGTGTACAGATGTTTTTATGTACAATTATAAATATGGTTTTGAAAATCAAGCGCAAGCAAAGCTGGGTTTGTGTAATTTATAATTTGAATATTCATAGCAAATGTTGACCCTTAACCTTTGATTTCTTGGAAAAACTAAAATTAGAAATCTTTAGGTATGAAATTGTCTACTAAATTAAATAATTTGATGTTGATTGTTATTTCAGTTTTAACGAATGTTTGGGTTATAGAGAACACAAAAAAAAATCAATGGAGTAATACGATTTTCAAATACATGTATTATATAATTATCGAAATGGTGTATTTTAGAAAACTAAATACATGTATAACCATTTAAGACATTGAAACATGAAACAACTTTGCGATAGAATAACTGGATATAAGTTATAACTGATGATTTTCTTCCTGCTTAATAAGGACTACTTTCCACCTCAATGTAACTTAGAATATACGAGAAATTAAATATAATTGCCATTCATTTTTTTAAATTGGGGGGGGGGGGGGCAAATATTGTCATTCGTAAATGAATAAGTTACTGAAAACAGGTAATTCATTCATCACAACTACTGATGTAGAAAAACATACAAATGAAAAGCCTTACAATTTTCTCATCCCGAATTTACTGTCGTCTAGATATGCTCCTACAGGTCAAGTCTACTTATCAGTATTTCAATTTTGTCATATCTAGGATACGAATTCTTGTTTCAGTTAATTAATTAAAATATAAGTTTTCGGTTTTAATTGCAAGTTCTTTTGTAAAGCGGGCTTAGGATTTTGGTATGTCAATTTCCTTTTACCTTCCCCATTCATTAAGGATATATGCAATGTACCTTACCTACTGATAATTTTCCAAGATATTCTTAATTTAAGATTATAGTGCCATCAGATGTTCGTAGACAAAAAATTAGCATGTATTACCAGGGGTTTTGAAAAGATATCAATTGATGGAAATTCTTGTATAATTCAAAGAAAAATATACAAAAATTACTAAGCATATATTCTAGATGTTTTGTTTTAGAAGAAGTGTACAACAGTATATATAGACATTAAAATGTAGCACACAGTTCCTTCAAGTATTGGAACTCTTCAACTCCAGGGAAAAGGACAATAAAGTTCAAACTACGTTGCGTATGTCCTTAAAAGCAATTGACTTAGGCCCTTTCGGAACATCGGCTCCATTACTATTAAGGAATGGAGAGATGCATTCACCAATACGTAATCATTACCGTCTTCCTTGGAAGACGGTATACAGAGTTGAAGTATTTTACAGTCTTCGAACTATGGACTTCCTCTCTTTTGTGATTGGTAGAAATTACATGATGTGAAAATTTCCAATTATTTCATTGGTTAAATTCTGTTCAAGGCAAGGGAGATAATTTTCTGGTGATCTAATTTTCGTACGATTTATCAATTTTTCAAGATTTTCAATCTTTAAAAAAATTGACAAAACGAACAGTTGAAAATGGCCATGAATAAAACTAACCAACGCTTTATTTTTTATAGCAATTACTAAAAGGCGTTTCTATATATTCAATGTAAACAGAAATTTTCTACATTGCTTGTCAGCTTTTCAGCTTGTATTTATTCTTTTTCTTTGTTTTGCACCGTCTTTCTAATCTCTCGGCTTTCTCCGTAAACTCCGACCAGCAGCATAGTCGAAGTTTACGGAGAAAACCGAGCGTCTGGTTGAACATTCACATGGTAGACTAATGTCAGTAAAAAGTTAATGAAAAAATGCTCAAGAATAATACGGCCTGATAGGTGTATGCAAGTTTACTGTTTAAGGTTGTTGCTAAAGACGGCCAAGCTTTTTGAAAAAAGCTCTACTTGTTACCAGTATGTGTTGTTACATAGACAGGGCGTTATCGGCAGACAAATAAACTAGGTCTTACATTGTTAGTATATCTGTACCTTTGTATGAAAGTCATTTATAGTTACTACATCATGGATGTTATTTTAATGGGTTTTTTACTTTTTACATCGATCCTCTTTTATATTTTAATATTGACACGATTAGCATTGTTCCATTACGTTTTTACAATATTCATATTGTTACATTTTACATTGTTCTTTTTGGAACAGATATATATGAAACAGATTACAAACACAGGAAGAAAAAAAATAGTCACAATAATTTTTTTCCATTTTCACAGACATATCAAGCCGCCTACTCAATGCAAAACAGAATTCCAAAGTGAAAAACGACGTCATTTTACTGACATTCTAGCCGAGTACCATCTGAATACTATTTAAACGATACATTGATTTTCTATTTAATTGGTTTTTTGACACCCCCCCCCCCCAAAAAAAAGAAAAGAACAGAAAGAAGAAAACGAAAAGTCTTTGAATATGGATTTGATATGGTTTATATGGTTAGTATGGTTAATTTTATCCAAGGTCAGCGACCCGGAGTGGTTAACAAAAAATAAATAGATTACCTCATATAATTCTTCTGGCTCCTACCTGACTTGACAACTTACATATTTGAACTATATCTAAGTTATCGTACTATAACTCAATTTTGAACAAGATAGAAATGGTGCTCAACGTCCCCGGTTTGATCTCGGTCATCATCTTCTATATCGTTATCCTTGTTATCGGACTATGGGCAGCCCGCCGGACCAAAGGGGAGACCAACAGCGAAAATGTAATGTTGGCCGGGAGAAACATAGGTCCATTTGTAGGGGTCTTCACCATGACAGGTAGAGACTTTTAGGACTTAAACATTCTTTTATTGTGCTCTTTAAAGTTATAAAATTATATATTTCCATAGACATTCAATATTGTGTGTACATGTAATTTTTTGATCAGAGATTGTTGCAACCAACAACACCCCCCCCCCCCCCCCGGTAAAAATAAGAAATTTAAAAAAGTTATGATTATCCAAAATTTTAAAATTTTACAATTACAGTATCAAAACTAAATTCGCCCCTACCCCTCCCACCCGCTGGAAGAATTTGGCACACGCTGAATTCCAGACTCTACAGTCATTTTCATTTGTTTTAGCTTTAGGTGTTATCAATGGCATCACCTCCTCTGATTAGGATTTTCGAGTTTATCTCATACACGCATCATAAATATGCATGCAGCAATTTCTGTACACGCAGTTTTGAAAAAAAATGTTCAAAAATTTGTGATCGTATTTTTTCTGATCATGCAGCTCATTTTCGACAAAAATACGTTGCTTTCCATTTTCAATAAGAAGAATAAATTCAATAGAATAATTTTTTTTTGATACATATCTGTCCAAAGTCTTGTTGTAAAGCAATGAAACCATAGTTTTTTTTGTATAAGCACTCTCAAGCTTGGATTATACATTACAAGACTTGGGTTTTTGTTTAATTTTTATGCCCCCGGATCGAAAGATCTCGGGGGTATATTGTTTTTGTCCTGTCTGTCTGTTTGTCTGTTTGTTTGTCTGTCTGTTGTCAACTTTAACCTTGCCCATAACTTTTGATTGGTTGGAGCTATAACTTTCATATTTCACATGTGTATTCCTTGTGACACGACCTTTCTTTGGGTACCATCATTTTTGACCTTGACCTTGGAGTTTGACCCACTTTTGCAAAATTTTATGTGACTTTAACCTTGGCCATAACTTCTGAACAGTTGGTGCTTGGGGTTTCAAACTTCACATGTGTATTCTTTGTGACAAGGCCTTCCTTTGGATACCAACAACTTTGACCTTGGAGTTTGACCTACTTTTGAAAAACTTTAACCTTGGCCATATCTTTTGAACAGTTGGTGCTTGGGGTTTCAAACTTCACATTTGTATTCCTTGTGACAAGACCTTCCTCTGGATATCAAGCTCTTTGATCTTTTGACCTTGACCTAGGAGTTTGACCTACTTTTGAAAAACTTTAACCTTGATCATAACTTTTGAATGGTTGATGCAAGGGCTTTCATACTTCACACATGTAATCTTTGTGACATCACCTTCCTTCGAATACCAACCACTTTGACTCTTTGACCTTGACCTAGGAGTTTGACCTACTTTTGAAAAACTTTAACCTTGATCATAACTTTTGAATGGTTGATGCAAGGGCTTTCATACTTCACACATGTAATCTTTGTGACATCACCTTCCTTCGAATACCAACCACTTTGACCCTTTAACCTTGACCTAGGAGTTTGACCTACTTTTGAAAAACTTTAGCCTTGGCCATAACTTTTGAATGGTTGATGCTAGGGCTTTCATACTTCACACATGTAATCCTTGTGACATCACTTCCTTCGAATACCAACCACTTTGACCCTTTAACCTTGACCTAGGAGTTTGACCTACTTTTGAAAACTTTAGCCTTGGCCATAACTTTTGAATGGTTGGTGCTAGGGCTTTCATACTTCACACATGTAATCCTTGTGACATCACCTTCCTTTGAATACCAACCACTTTGACCTTGACATAGGAGTTTGACCTACTTTTGAAAAACATTAACCTTGGCCTTAATTTTTGAATGGTTGGTGCTAGGGCTTTCATACTTCACATATGTAATCCTTGTGACAAGACCTTCCTTTGAATACCAACCACTTTTACGGTTTGACCTTGACATAGGAGTTTGACCTACTTTCGAAAAACTTTAACCTTGGCCATAACTTTTGAATGGTTGGTGCTAGGGCTTTCCTACTTTACATATGTAATCCTTGTGACAAGACCTTCCTTTAGATACCAACAACTTTGACCTTGACCTTGATGTTTTACTTACTTTTAAAAAACTTTAACCTTCGCCATAACTTTTGAACAGTTGCAGCTAGGGCTTTCAGATTTAACATTTTTTATCTTTTGGCCTGGATTTTGGCTTGCATTTGAGAAACTTTAACCTTTGCCATAAGCTGCCATACGGGGGCATTAGTGTTTCACAAACACATCTTGTTTTCCTTTAAATTACTACATAAGAATTGTGAATGATATTATTTTTCACTCGAGCTGCTCTTACATTTATTGAAAACCTCTCAACATCTTCTAGTGCAGTCCAACTTCTCTGCGATTCAGGAACAGTGGCAGATCTAGGGTATCATAGAGACTGGAAATGTTGTTTGATATCCAAACAAATACTATTAAAATGATAGTTCGTAAACATGAAGAATTCCATGTAGTAAATCATCTGGGTTGGGGAATTTTCTATGCCGGGGATGTTTTCTATGTGATAGTAAATTGTACGGGGGAAGAACCTTAGTTTTCTGTACTGTTTCAGCTTTCATTTGTTAACCCGTTCTCATTGTTTACAATTCGAGGAAATGTCTAGAGCCAATTTGGTTATGAGACGGATAACTCTGAAATAAACCCAGCTACCCAGGAAACTCGAAAGTCTACTAAACAAACGCTTAGTACTTTCAAGAGGAATTTGCTGTTACTTAAAATTAGGCCATTGCAATTTTTTTTCTATATTTAGCGTCCACCCTAAATTAAAAATCCTGTTTTTCTATCCGGGAAAAAACACACAAACAAAAAGGGGGAAAACACAACATTATAAGAATAACATTGTAGAATTTCTCATTATCATTTGATATTCAATAAGAAAAAAATTGATATCCCGATCCCAAAAGAGTAAATTGTAAAATGTTCAAGGTCAATATTACAACATCTGCCAATGGAGTTTCGAGTATCAATTGATAAGTGTTTGAACCCTAAAATTTTATTTAAAAAAAATCAAAGATCAAGGTCAACATAGCCAATTAATTATTTGTTAAATTGTATTTTGAGTATAGAGTAATATATTGAATAATGTACATGTTTGATAGCAAAGTTAAAACATTTCATATTTAACTAGGAGACAAAAATTCACGACTTTTACTTGTTTTCTTTGAAGCCACGTGGGTCGGAGGTGGATTCATTAATGGTACAGCAGAAACGGTGTACAGAGATGGCTTACTGAATTGTCAGGCCCCACTAGGCTATTCTCTTAGTCTTGCGATTGGTAAGAAGTGAATGCAAACATTATACAAATATAGCCTTTAATTTGATGAGGTCAATCCCTAGATATTATATAATAAATATTATAATGTAGACCTTAGAGTTTGCATATCTACCGAGTACGAAGTGCAAGGTCGATATACTTTTATCTAGGAATTGTACCAAATCAAAAGGCAGTATTTGATTCATTATTTTTAATGAGAAATATCTAGGCATATTTGTAATACTAAATAGTTTCACGTATGATGCATTGTTACGTCATACTCATTATGACGTAACAATTATAAATCTGAGCTGAAGATTTTTTTCTAAAAACATCCAGTTTATATTGACCATTATCATCACTATTGTGAAATCATCACTATTGTTGCTTCATAGAAGATTGTTCCCAATTTTAGATTGATTGATTGATTGTTGTTTAACGTCCCTCTCGAAAATTTTTCACTCATATGGAGACGCCACCACTTGCCGGTGGAGGGCTACAAATTTTGACCTATACTCGGCACTTAGGGCCATTGATCAGTGAGAGATTTTTTTGTGCCAGCACCTACTGCGACACGGGACCTCGGTTTAAACGGTCTCATCCAAAGGACCGGTCACCACGCCCCGCAGTGGGGTTGTTCTAAAATTACCTCGCATGTTCTTTTAACACTTCTGCTTCAATGAAATAAAAGGCTGTGCACGAGACTAATTTTTTTTTTTCGAAAAGCAAATTACATGCTCAATTTACACCCGCATTTTTTATCAGGAGGTTTAGCTTTTGCCCGAAAGATGCGTGAACGAGGGTACGTAACAATGTTGGATCCATTTACTCGGACCTATGGGGAAAGGATGGGAGGACTTATCTACATACCGGCACTGCTGGGGGAGGTGTTTTGGTCTGGGGCCATCCTAGCTGCTCTAGGTACGTCAGTCGAAGACCTGATTATTTGAATAGCAAGGGTGAAAATCGCTTCATCGTACCATCGCTTCATCATCATTGCAACATCGTATCATCGATATCGCGCTATAGCTCCATCATGTTTTTGCATCGTCATCATCGCATTGTCACGTCATCTTGCTATCGCACATCGCATCATCGTCATCGCACCATTGCTTCATCGACATTGCTTTGTCGCGCCATGCACTATCGACTCAAACTTCGATAATGCGATAGTGAACACGTGGCCCTGTCCGGATTCCACACCCTGGTATTCGATGAAGATGATGCGATGGCACGATGAAGCGATAGTCCGATAGGAATGACACAATGGTAATGACGATGGCACGATGACGATGAAGCGATGTTCACCTTCGCATTGTCGTCATCGCATTTTCGCTCCATCGCATCATCGTCATTACGCCACTGCTTCATCGTCATCGAACCGTCACACTTTAATCGATGATCAATGGTGCGATAGTGAACTACGTGGCCCTATCCGGATTCCATAGGAAATAAAAGCGATCTGCTTATGAAATCATTGCCTATAAAAGCTTATGAAACCATTATTTGATCTTAAATTCTAAAATATGATCTGATATTCTATTTTACAGGGAGTACACTTCGGGTAATCATCGGACTCTCCCACGAAGTTTCAATCATCTCCTCCGCTTGTATCGCTGTCTTCTACACTCTTTTTGGAGGACTTTACTCTGTCGCTTACACTGATGTCGTGCAACTCATCTGCATATTTGTTGGTTTGGTGAGTATCCGAATCAAGAAATCCACAGATCTAAAAATTATTATAAATGAATTTTAAGTCATTTCTTAAAAAATCGAGTAATTTGAGTCCAGAGATCTTATAGTATACTTAGACGTACAAGTTATCATATCGCCAGTGGTTAAACTTGCAGTGGATTTGTGTTCCGTTTGCTATGGTCAACGACGTGGTGGAAAACATATCCGTCAATTCCACTTCTGAGTGGATCAAAGGAGTGGATCAAGAAGAATCAGGCGTGTACATCGACTCATTTCTTCTGCTTATCTTCGGGGGGATACCATGGCAGGTCTATTTCCAGCGAGTGTTGTCAGCCAGATCAGCCAAAGCTGCTCAGTATTTGTCGTTTTTAGGTGCATTGGGATGTCTTATCATGTCTGTCCCATCGGTTTTATTAGGCGCCATTGCCATTAACGCAGGTGAACCATATTCTCAGTATGATGAACATATTTTATTGTAATTTATCAAAATAAATGGGTTGGGCACAAGTTTTAAAACTTTTCACGATATTTTCAATGTATGAATACTTTTATCTCTCATCGCTATAATTTTTTTTAAAAATGCCATTGTCATTGACCGATTCTTACCGATAAATTTCGTAATCCATATTTTCTGTAACTCCAGATTGGAATAGCACTGCTTATGTAACAAGAGACAACTTCAATATGTCCGAGATCCCAAACAGAGCCTCGGATATCTTACCTCTCGTACTGCAATATTTGACCCCAGAATGGGTCTCTTTCTTTGGACTAGGAGCGGTGTCTGCTGCTGTAATGTCGTCTGCTGACTCTTCCATTTTATCCGCCAGTTGTATGTTTGCTAGAAATATCTACAAAATGATATTCCGACAAAAGGTATTGCCATGGTTCAAATTACGAACTTATATTTTACTATAAAACATAATTTATTCACGAGAAATTCATATTTGGTGATTTTTGCAAGATATCTTTAAACTCCTTCTCAGTGATGCCAAAAAAAGTAAGGCCAAATAAAAAAATATGTATGGTTCCGGTTACCCGACCTTCCCTATTTTATACCCCCGACCCTAAACTTTTTTTTGGCAATTTTCATATTTTTTTCCGGAATTTCCCCCGATTTCCATCAATGGCTCCAGTTTAAGTTTTAGTTTCAGCAATGACGGCCTCCTTGCAAAACATAGTGCAAATTTTTAATAGTGTTAAATCCAAAGCAAGCTAGCATGTAGGTGTCCCCTACCAATATTGACTAGTATATTATCACACCACATCATTTTGTTTGTTTGTTTGTTTTTTTTTTTTTTAAAAATCCCTACCTACCTACCCTAATTTTTTTGGAAGTGTAACCGGAACCACACATATTTTTTTGTTTGGCCTAAGGCATAACACGAAAAATACACGAAGTTGAAAAAAAAGAGTAACACAAAAAAGAAAGTGAATTCAATTTATATTTTTAGGAATATAAAAAGGTGTTTAATTGTCAAAATAATTATTTTAATTCATGAGTATGAATACTTAGTGTACGGTTCTATTTATAAGGAAATTTACTCACTATTCTGTTACATAGTCTCTCATCAACTTAGTTATCTGTTCTACATTTCTTGCGTTGATGCTTTAAAACATTTCTCTTTTATATAATTCCAGGCTTCCGAAAAAGAAATCATATGGGTCATGAGGTTTGCAATATTCGGTGTTGGGGCGTTAGCAACAGTGATGGCGATTAATGTCAAGTCCGTCTACACTTTATGGTATCTTTGTTCCGACCTCGTTTACGTGGTGCTTTTTCCGCAGCTTCTTTGCGTCACTTACCTCAACTACGCCAATACATACGGGTCTCTCCTGGGATACGTTGTCGGTATGTTTTTCCGGATAGCCGGAGGGGAACCAACATTAGGCATTGATGCTCTCATTAAGTATCCCTACTACTCAGAGAAACATGGACAGTTGTTCCCCTTTAAAACCCTCTGCATGCTGATATCCTTAACGACCATTGTTTTTATTTCCCGCTTGACTCACTTTTTGTTTGAAAGGGGATTCGTTCATCCTCGTTTTGATGTGTTTAAATGTCGAACTATCAAAGACATCGAAAACACTGAAACTGAGGGTCACAATGATGTAAAGTCCGCGGATCCTTTTGTTATTTATAACTCCGAGTTCACACAGGTCATTGAGGAAGTGAAAACAACCTGACATATTTATTTCTCATTACAAATTACAGATTATAAGAATGCATATTATAATATTATATATATATATATATATATATATATATATATATATATATATATATATATATATATATATATATATATATATATATGACAATGATGGAAATCTTGCTTGTGGCCGGTACATGTACTTTTTTATGAAAAAATTATAATATTAAATGGAACATCTTCATATTTAAGTGTGAAATTATCTCGAAGGGGCGTAAAACTACACCAATATCTATAATTCAGTTCAACTAGAATGATGTGCTTTGGATAGATGTTGAGCTGTTGTATGGAGCTATCTACATGTAATTCTTTGATGAATTTTCTGATGTCGAAAAATGATACTGTAGTAGTTGTTTTTTTTTCACATCTGAAAAAAACTTCCTCTGAAAAATTCTTTGATATTTCCTTGCTCTGTTAAAGAATATCCAGGCATGCACTATTTAATGGATAAATAACGAGTTGGTGTTGAATACAAATTACCAAATTCTTTGGAAAAAAAATATTATTGAGAACGTATCGTCTGCCCTTTAAACTCTGTTTTATGTATATAAAAAAAAACTAAATCATCAGCTTTCGTAGACTTCTCCCCCCCCCCCCCCCCCTCAAACTTCAATCTGGGCCTTAAATTCTTGGAGCCACTGCCTCTAGAAATTACCCCTAGAAATTCTTCGATCCGCCCCTGCTTCGTATTCTATGTTTTGATTGTTTTAATTAACTGACCCCGTTTACGAACCATAAAACAGAGCGCGTAAGGAGCAGTCGGTGAAAATCAGTTGGCTTACTAAGCAAAGAGAGATAACCGTACTTTCTATTTCGCCATAACAATGTTCCCGCCATATTAAAAGGTTCTATGTTCATCAGGAAATAAGGTAATTATTGTTACTATCTACAGCATACTTGTTATGCATTCAATTTTATAGACTTTTCAATGTTCAAGTTGTTAAATATTTGACGCCAAGAATCTTATGAAAGTCTACCCTGTTAGGCTATTATGATATATGTGTATATGAATTTACGAAATATTTTAACACGTTGTACTTTTACTGTGACCATGTTGCATACCAGGATTCTCCATAATTTTACGCCAAAAGAAAAGACAGGAATTTAAAAAAAAAAGAAGCTGTTTGATATTTCTATATTTTTGGTAAAAGTACAAGATTATTTAGTGAAATTGTCAACTGTTTTTATGGACATGATAGAAGGTTTTAACGTGGTTAGCATGTTTATTGAAGAGTCCTTGAACTTGTCTAATTCGTCTGCAAACTTTGATGAATTTAGATGTATACTTTTCATAACTTTAACCAGGGTTAGTACTATACAATTATTGCTGATTTTGAGGTGAATGCGATGATTTAGCCACCTGAGGAGTACAATATATTCACCGAGCCCGAAGGGCGAGATGAATATATTGTACCTCGAAGGTGGCTAAATAATTGTTTTGTTATATGATTCAATAATTAAAATGATACGAACTCATTATTCATTTAATTAAGAAGTTCATACCATCTTGCTTGTTTACATTCGCTGAAGTCCTAGCTAAATGCAATGAGAGAAGTGGGTTTAAATAAACAATACCAGTCGTAAATTTGGAATTTTTTAAATCTACTTTATAGTTGCTATGAAAAAAAAAATATGTCAGGCTTTTTTATAGAATAGATTTTGAAAAGGGGGAGGGGACATTTTCAGGGGAAAATGACAGCAGAAAAAATCTTTGAAAAGAGAATTCTTTTAACTTCAAATTTTGTTCAAGGGTTGGGATGGGGGCTTAATGTCCATTAGTAGGGGAGCAGTCTTTCAATGAGTATTTTTAGTCTAAATTAAAAGTGAAAATTTACGTTCAGAGGCACCCCCCCGACCCCCCCCCCCCCCACAACAACAACTACCCCAAATTATATATTTCCTAATATTATGTTCACCTGAGTGGAAGTCAGTAGCATGTGAAATACTTTCCAAAACTACACGTATATGTATCAGTTTGGAATTTCCCGATCTATTTTTAGACCAATGTAGAGAAAATAAATCCTTTTATTCACCTGGAAGCCTCAAGGTCAGTGCAGGTGAAAATAACGTAGTTTTTATTTAATATTGTTGGATCTCAGCCAATCAGAGAGATGGAAGAATAATGTCATTTATTTTGCTCATATTAAATTGAATAAGAATCTTGTGATATGTACATGTATCTTAGTTTGTAAATTTAAACAAAGCTATTTATTAAATATTATTGAAAATAAAACAGTCTACATGTATTTGATTAATTATAAAGGTTGAATATTGACTTTTGAATTTGAAAGAAATAATATTAGAAACCTTAATTAACTTGCTTTGAAGGTTTGAGGAACATTGCCTGAAATTGTAATTCAGTATTGTAAAATTATATATACATGTATGTGATTTGCACTGAGCTGTATAAGCATTAAGTGATAAATAACTGACTTTAATACATTATATTCCACTTCACATCTTATCAGTTTGATTTAAAATATTTGGAATTTTATCTATAGATAAATAAAGCCCACTCTAATGAATCTGCATCTGAGCGCCCAGGACGTACCCCGCTGTGACCTTTGTGAGAATGCCTTAGCCTCGTCTCACAGTGATTTCTGCTTCATCAACCTTTGCAGGCCTTGTATTGGTGAACATATCGGTGATGAATATACCAAACATAAAGTTGTCCCATTCAATCAGCGGAAATCCACTGTGATCTATCCAATGTGCACAACTCATGAAAGTCAGAGATGTGAATTTCAGTGCAATGAATGCCACATATTTGTATGCTCTCTCTGTGTTTCATCGGATACTCACAATGGACATACATTCTCAAATCTGTTTGAAATCTACAAATTCAAAAAGGAAATCACAGAAAAGGATAAATGTGAACTGGAAAACATTATCTGTCCAACATATGAGGCTATCATTACTGAGATAGAATCTGGAGTAGCAAAAATAGATGGAGAATATGAACACCTTTCAGCTGCAGTTATAAAGTGTGGAGAGGAATTGCGAAAAGAGATTGAAATTGCTGTCGAAAAATTGAATGGGGATATTGAAGAGATGAGAACTAAACATATTGATGTTTTGCAGAAACATTTAGAGGAAATAAAGAAGACACGTTCTGATATTCAGAAATCTTTGGAAACCCTGAGAGAAGTCACGGAATCAAATGATGTAGCCCTGGTAGTGGAATTCAAATCAAGAAACAAGGAATTCTTTAGACTTCCTCAAAAAGTTGAAGTGACAGGGCCTAAGTTTGATCCCAAAGCAATAGACAGGCAACAGCTTAACCAGGTGATTGGGACTTTATTACCTCTTTCACCTAGGTCAGTGGAACATGGCTACACATTAAAGATGCCTGCCAAATGTCTTCAGGATGACCCAGAACTTATTGGGGCCATTGACACGGGGAGTAGAAAGCTGTACAGTGTTACCTGCTACAGTGATGTAAACATCTGGATTTGTGGAAGATACAGTACCATGAAATGCTTTGACAACCAAGGATCACTGATTAAATCAGTGGAAACCAAGTCTGGAGAATGGCCTTGTGACGTTGCTGTGACAAATGACGGTGATATGATTTACTCCGACTGGGCGACAGGAAAAATTAACATGATAGAAAATGGACAGGAAAAAGAAATTATCTACCTGGAGGAATGGGACCCTCAAAATCTCTGTGTCACCTCATCTGGTGACCTCTTAGTAACCATGAGCAGTGTTGAGGAATGGGAAGAAGGTGGGGATGAAGAAGATTCAGATGAGGAGATGATACAATGCAAAATTGTACGTTATTCACTGACAGATGCCAAAGAGAAACAAACTATACAATTTGATGACAAGGGAAATCCTTTGTTCTCGGGAAACCGTTACAGTAAATACATCTGTGAAAACAAAAACTATGATATCTGTGTGGCAGACTCCGAAGCTGGCGAAGTTGTGGTGGTAAATGAAGCTGGTAACCTCAGATTTAGGTATAGGGGTCATCCATCTGCTGCCAGGAATCAACAATATCAGCCCAAAGATAGTTCTACAAAGATCAACACATTCAACCCAATTGGCATAACGACAGACAGCCAGAGCCAAATTCTGACAGCAGACTGCCCAAATCACCTTATCCACATCTTGGACAAAGATGGACATTTTCTTCGGCTGATAGATAATTGTGATCTGTACAGTCCATTTGATTTGTTTGTGGACAAAAATGACATCCTTCATGTAACAGAATATAACATTGGGAAAGTTAAAAAAGTCAAATATCTGGAGTGAATACACACCACGTTGTTTATATAGTTACAAGCTTTTATTTATTTTTTTTTTTTTTACATTAGAATAGATTTAATAGCAAGTAATGCTTTTGATGTCATTTTCTCATTTTTTTGCACTGAAAAATAGAAATGAACTATTAAGTTGCATTGTCATTGCTTTCTTTCTTTAATTTCTTTATTAAATTGGACCATTGCTTAGCAGAATGGGGACATTGCTCAGCCATTTACAAAATCTATGCTAGCTGCAGGTTTGTAGCTACTGGCAGCAAAAAAAACCTGTTGGGATGAATGACTATATTTTTTAAATCAGTGAGCTTCAGGTATGTTTTGTAAAGGGTATCCATCAGCAACCAGTTTACAAAGTGCCTTAACTATAAACAGTAAAGTGATTGGAAGATGCTCATGGATCGCAATGCTCACCTGAATAATGCTGGTTTTCCTGGCAAATCCTTTATTATGGTTCAGAAATTATCCGAAGACCAGGATTTTTAAAACGGTTTAATATATAAAAATATATGTTCACTTTTTTAATCTGACATTTCATAGTCGCCACGGTACTCAGTTGATAGAGCGCTCACTCCATGATCGGAAGGTCGTGTGTTCGAATCACGACTGCGACTGACCTAAGTTGATAAAAAATAGTTAGCAACTGTTCCTTCGCCAAGCGCTCGGCACTTTGAAGTGAAAGTTGCAGGTCATTTGGATGAGACCTTAAAAACCGAGGCCCTGTGTCGAGGTAGGCGTTGGCACCTTAAAGGGGCCTGGACACAGTTGCATTGTTTACATTTTAAATTTCTATGGTTATTTAAAAAATAAAACCAGTTAAATGAATTGAACTTACATGAATATTCTTAGAATTCAATGACAAGACATTCTTCTTTACATCACCCCAAACATCTGTTTTTGTAAACAGGGCACGAGCTCTGTTATTGTTACTGTTTACGTTTCACTGGGTATGTTAAATGTTTAAACTCTGCACACATCACTGAGCATGGACTGACTATACTGGTGAGTGGGTTTTGCTTTCTCACATTTCTACTCTGAATTTTCTGGATTATAGTTTTAATATTTTTCATCAATACACAACAAAGTTTCTACTTTTCTTAAGTATTAAGGATAAAGTATACTTTGTGAAAATGCAAGGATAAGTCAATCAAACACGTCCCAGAATTCGTAGTTTAAATAATTTCCAGATAAAAGAAAGTCTCTAAACACGCTTTTATTATATTTCTGTGTGAAATGCTATAGTAACATATAAGTCATGATTTTATACAGAAAATTTGAGAAAATATTAACTTTAAATCTATGTCCAGGCCCCTTTAAAGAACCCTCACTTTTCATTGGCCTTGAGTGCCGAGTAAAGGTCTAAATTTGAAGCCCTTCACCGGTATATGGTGACTTCTCTAGATGAGTGAAAAATTCTCGAACGGGACGTAAAACAACATACAATCAGTAATCTGACATTTCGTAGCTTTTTTCACAGGCCTCTGAATTTCTATCAATAAGCCGTTCTATGATTGATCAGAGTGATATATATATACCCCCTCTATATATAAATACATATTAATATATAGAGGGGGTATATATATCACTCTGGTCAATCATAGAACGGCTTATTGATAGAAATTCAGAGGCCTGTGCTTTTTTTTTTTTAAAGGAAAATCAAATGTTCTCATTTTAAACTACGGACTCTTATTATTGCAAAAAAGGACCATCATGTAAACAGGCTTAAATCTACAAAAATCAGGAAATCAGGACCCCCTTAATTTCTCTTTCACCTGAGCTATCCGGCTACTCTAATGATTATAAGAGACTGCCACACTCTAAAAGCTTTACTGTTCCTGGAAATGTTTTCTTCATATCGCTTATTAAAAGTTTCAGACCGTTTCCTTGTTTCTAACATATATCACAAAAATTTTGTAGAGTTCTTCACGTTATTTTTGTATTTAAATTTTATTTTTCAAAACGAAAAAAATATAGTGAACTATGGTGGCATATTTCTGCCCCCTACATGCAAGATAAATTATGTTAACATGCAAGAAAAGTATGTTAACATGCAAGATAATTATGTCAACATGCAAAATAATTATGTTGAAATATAAGTTACCAATATTTTTTGAGAATCTAATTTTAATGTTGGTAAAATTACTTACTAACGCCAGTATACGACTTCATACAAGCGAGTTATGTAGATATGCTATTTATTTATGTCAACATTCAAGATAATTATGTTAACATGCAACTTATTTATGTTAACATACAACTTAATTATGTTAACATGCAAATCATGCGACTTATTTATGTCAATACGTGAGTTATATTTTAACATGTAAGGTATTTATGTCAACATGCAAGATAATAAGTTGCATGTTGACATAATTAACTCGCATGTTGACATAATTAACTCGCATGTTAACAGAATTATCTTGCATGTTGACATATATAAGTTGCATGTCTACATAATTATCTTGCATGTTGACATAAATAAGTCGCATGTCAACATAATCGTGTTGTATCTTGCTAGTATGATGTCATATAATGGCGTTAGTAAGTAAGTTTACCAATATTAAAATTAGATTCTCTAAAGAGATTGGTAACATGCATGTCAACATAATTATTTTGCACGTTGTCATAAATAAGTTGCATGTCTACATAATTATGTTGTATGTTAACATAATTTATCTTGCATGTAGGGGGCAGAAATATGCCACCATAGTGAACCAATATCTCTGCAGCTCCCTGACCCTGGGATGTTTAGTTCATTTAAGCAAACTTCAACTACACTATATATAAACGATAAAAGACGACCACCAGGTCAGCCATGCAAATTTATGTTAATTCTACATGTCCAATCAGTATTTAGTAATTTTAAAGTGCCATGTATTCACATTTTGTATGGCTGTATTCATCATAATCATGTTTGCACTTGAGTTTAACTAGTATCAAATTGTAACAGGTGCTGGAGTAAATATTCAGAACAGACCCTCCATGGATGATGTTTGGCGCTCTCCATTATGTGAAATCATGATGCAAAATCAAACTGTTTTCATGTGATCTCTCTGTTTTTAGCTTTTCCAAGGAGAGATAAACAAGAAAAAAAAAATAGAGTAGAGTGTTAATTTGATTAAAATCTCAATCGCATCTTCTCGGGCCTATCCGGCAAGCTCGGAAAAACACCTCGAATTTATTAAAGGGACTGGGACACAGATTTGAAGCTCAAATTTTCAAAAATGTTCGGAAAAAAAATATCATGACTTATATGTGCTAGAGCATTTCCCACCAAAATGTGTTAAAGCAATAAGAGCTGCACTTTTGAGAATTTTATTTTGCTGTTAAAATGTGTTATTATGATTAATCTGTATATAATTTGAACCTTTTTGATCAATTAGACAGAAATAAAGTATCATATTGTTTTAGAAAAAAGGATTCTGTACAATCAAATATGTAGTATTTTATAAGAAATCAATATTGTACAGGACGACAATAATATAATTTTGCTTCGATCAAAGCTTATAAAAAGTTCTTCCATCGCAAATATGAACAACAGAAGTTTATAAACCTTCGTTTTTTCTGTCATTGAAATAGTTAATTACAATTTTGCAACAAAAATTTCTGACATCAAAGTTGCTGCTCATATTGCTTTAAAAGCGTGTTCAGAAAATTCTTTTATCTGGAAATTATTAAAAACTACGATTTTCGGCACACGTTTGATTGACGCATATCAATGGACTTTCACAAAGTAAACTTTACGTTTTTAAAAAAGTAGAAATTTTAATGTGTATTCATGAAAAATATGAAAACTATAATCCAGAAAGTTTCGAGTGAAATCGAACACATCCAGTAAATTAACATAAACATAACAATAATAGAGCTCGAGCCCTGTTTACAAATACAGGTCTTAGACGTGATGTTGTGAAGAATGTAGTTGTTAAGGAATTCTTAGAAAATTCATGTGAGTTAAAATCATTAATCTGGAGTTATTTTTTGAATAAAAAATAGACATTTAAAATTGTAAACAATGCAACTGTATCCAGGCCCTTTTAACATCACCGGATGTTTAGAATTTATACAAAACGGAGTTGCTTTCTATTTATTAAAGTATTGGATAGGTGCAGTTGAAAGTCCATTCTGTAGTATATTTTCGGTAATATATTTACATTCAATGAAGTTAATTAAACTCCATACTCTACAGATAAGAGGTCTCTCTACATTTATTTTAAAAGTTGATGAAAAGGGGGGTTGTCATGGACGTCTACGTAACACATTCGAGGTTGTTTTTCCGCTTGCATATCAACATAACTATCTTGCATGTTGACTTACTTTTCTTTAATGTTGACATAATTTATCTTGCATGTAGGGGGCAGAAATATGCCAGCATATAACGTAAAGGTAAACATTTTTTGAAAATCTTCTCAACAATAGATGATCAATGTTTTATATAGGAACAGCATAGCAATGACTAATCATGTAAATATGCAAGCATCCTCAGGTTACCAATTTTGTAAGTAAAATTTAAAGAAAAAAAAAGAATAAGTAGATTAGTTTCCTTTTTCCCTCTTAAATCATATGTTTGATTTTTTACATCTCGAGAAAATGATTTCTATGCCACAGCCTTTCGGCCTATAAGGAATATGCGCCACTGTTAAATTCCTTAAGGACCCTCTATACACTAAAGGATTTTTTTTTTTGGACATTGAAAAAAATATAATGTGTAAAGATGTATATGTTGGGCTTATCTATTACATTTTCAAAATAGGATAGCTTGCATTTACCTCCAGGAAAAATGTGCATAGGCAATAAATTACTGAAGAACAAAGATCACTGTTGTTTACCCAAGTCGGTAAAATACATGCAAATGAAATGTTCAATCTATCAGTCAATTTATTATGGCATATTGAAGTCTTACTAATGCTTGACTTGATGGCTAATTAAATAATAAACTGTACATTTCAATTTATTTTATTCGATGTAGGAGCAGATTACTCTATCTGCATAAAAGTGCCACACAATCATAACACATTAGTGTGCAGTGTAAAGAGGGCTCTGAACAGACCGTTCCTACTAGCTTAGTATAGAGGTTATACCGGTCATTGGCATACCCAATATATATTATGGTTGAAGAAGAAATCTGCCCAAGTTAATCCTAGCTAGAAATTAAATGAAAAAAAGCTTATTTTTTTAATTAAGTTAAAATTAGTTTAAATCAATTTATAATTTAATTTAAATTCTAATTATATTAAAAAATTAGTATTTTAGCAAAGGCAAAGGTCAATTTAAGTTTAATCAAATTCTGATGAAATATTTTTTTATGTTGCCAAACGTATTAAAACAGTAATCTGGCGCGAGTCAAGGAGGTTATGTTTTACATACACATACCCATATGGCTAAATCTGCGTTGCTCCGGATATTATACTTTGCTAAATTAAAGTGTAGTTTTAAATGTAGTTACTACGTAAGCAAAACCTAATTGTATGAAGCTTGTACTGAATGAGCACCAAAAGAGACCAAGGGAGTCTTTTGGGAAACATCTGTAACGGTTCGAGTTGCAATAAGTACCAGTTTATTTTCGTATTTCAAGATTCCTTTTTTCTTTTTGCTCAAGGTATATTTATATTTTCCTGAGAAATACAAGGATAATTTATAAATGAAGATGATTTATTGAACTTTGGCATAGTAGTATTTTTTCTCTCTTGTTTTTACCACCTTTTACTTACCTTATTATAAAAAAATCTTGAGCGATAAAAGGGAGCAATGCAATTTAAAAAATGCAAACGTAAAAAAAAGTTTCCTTACATTTGTGAACACTTCAAAGATTTAAGAATCGCTTTTTTGATTGGCAAATATAAAATAAACGAGGATTTCTGAATCAGAGTTAAAATTTGATACCATTATCTTTATTTGGAATAATCTGAAGTTTTAAACACTTAAAATTTTATCTCATGTTACGGTATACACTGTACTGAAAGGACCCTATTGTAAACTTGATATATATCTAAATTATTTTTAATAATATAAATCTTTCTTACCAAGAAAATAAATCTGCATTAACTTCAGGTAATTACTAACATCTGTACTTTTTATGTACGTTTTTTTCAAATTTACTTGAAATCTTCACTGTGAGATTCTTCTGATAAAAGGAAAGAAAAGCCGACATCATTGAAAACATATATAGTATGAAACGATTAGATCTCTATACAGAATATGGAGAATATGGCATGTCAAACGTTCCAATATATGACCTTTTCCATTTGTATTGTGTAATTTTCCATTTGTATTCTATAATTCTTCATTTGCATTGTAAAATTTTTATTTGTTTTCTTTAATTTTTCATTTGTATTGTAAATTTTATATTTGTTTTCTATAATTCTCCATTTGTATTCTATAATTCTCCATATGTATTGTATATTTTTTTATCTGTATCGTATAGTTTTTTATTTGTATTGTATAATTTTTATTTGTATTGAATAATTTTCAATTTGTATTGTGTATTTTTTATTTGTATTGTACAATTTTCCATTTGTATAATTTTCCATTTGTATTGTATAATTTTCCATTTGTATTGTATAATGTCTCTTTAGTATTGTATACTTTTCCTTTGTATTGTTTACTTTTCAATTTGTATTGTAAAATTATACAATACAAATGGAAATTCTAGAATACAAATACAAATTATACAATACAAATGAAAATTTTACAATACAAATGGAATATTAAACAATACAAATGAAAAATTATAGAATACAAATTGAATATTATAGAATACAAATTAACATTATACAATACAAATTGAAAATTATACAATGAAAATGGAAAATTATAGAATATAATTGGAAAATTGTACAAATCAAATAAAAAAAGATCGAAAGTTGCAACGTTTGACATGCAGTGAAGTGAAATTTTATCTTTTTGCAAGAGATACGTGTCATCTTTAATTTCATAGCCAAGTGTACATTAACAAATTCATTACATTTTTTTCTTAGATGATAGTATATTTTTTTATCTGTATTGTATAGTTTTTTATTTGTATTGTATAATTTTTATTTGTATTGAATAATTTTCAATTTGTATTGTGTATTTTTTATTTGTATTGTACAATTTTCCATTTGTATTGTATAATTTTCCATTTGTATTGTATAATGTCTCATTTGTATTGTATACTTTTCCTTTGTATTGTTTACTTTTCAATTTGTATTGTAAAATTATACAATACAAATGGAAATTCTAGAATACAAATACAAATTATACAATACAAATGAAAATTTTACAATACAAATGGAAAATTATACAATACCAATGAAAAATTATAGAATACAAATTGAATATTATAGAATACAAATTAACATTATACAATACAAATTGAAAATTATACAATGAAAATGGAAAATTATAGAATATAATTGGAAAATTGTACAAATCAAATAAAAAAGATCGAAAGTTGCAACGTTTGACATGCAGTGAAGTGAAATTTTATCTTTTTGCAAGAGATACATGTCATCTTTAATTTCATAGCCAAGTGTACTTTAACAAATTCATTACATTTTTTTCTTAGATGATAGTATATTTTTCATGAATAAAAGACAATGTTGCAGAAATGTAAGATATACTAAAATGTAATGATAGTTAATGATATACAATCTAAAACAAAACTTTTAAATTCAATGATAAAGTTAATTTAAATTCACCAAACAAATATTTTTTTATACCAACTTTGATAGACTAATGGTCCATTACCCTAAACGGTCAACTTTGATTTTATGCAACAACATTTTACGTTTTTCTTCAATAATTATGTTAAGACGTATAATGATCTAACAACCCAACATGTGTACATATACATGAGTACTGCATTCACACAATCAATATTTTCACACCGGGGCACACTCTCCTTCACAAGAGACATGAATTTCCTAGTTTTGAAATTGTTCACTGGAAATTTATGAGACAGACTCGGAACAAAATACTTCAATAACGAAAGAAGAATCTCAGTTTTGCTTTATGTTACAAGATTTTCACCTAGGAAGACGGTCACGCAAATATGAAAGTCATATAAGAAACTTTGGGGCCTCAATTTGATATTAAGCTTATCAGTTTTTTTAAAATTCCCTCTCAAAATACTGCAAATATTGAGATGTTTTATTTTTGTTGCAGAAAAAAAAAATGATTTGAAATTGTCCTAAAGATTACGATCGACAGACAATGGACCGGCATAGGCGATGTTAACATAGGTTACCTTAAATAACTAAGGTTTACAATAAAAATGGAGAGAGAGAGCAATGACACTCCAATCTGGAAATGAATCAAAGTGTCTCCTGATCGGAACCCTCATTGTCTACCTCGTAATAAAATTTTCCTTCGTTAAATCGCACTTTTTGTTTTTCTGAGATCTCAGGAACTGGCACTTCCACTGCGTTTGTATAACTCGGAGATCGTTTTAATGACCTCCTTTTCCACCTGACCGGGGTACTGTCATAAGAGTCTAATTGATGGCATTCGTGTCTGTTTTCTATACTTTTGAATGGACTTCGCAGAAATTGACACGTGGTTGGATATCCATTATGTTTATCAAAAGTATCACAAATTTCTAGTTGTTTCATCGGGTCCTCTTCTGGTGTTATACCATAGCTTCTGGAAAAATTGAAGAGTTGCAGAAAATTAGTTTTGTTAATTATTTTTTTTTTATAAAATGTCTTCAAATAACATTTCCCCCAGATATTCAATTCAGCATCGTTATTATTTTTCAAGATTTATTTTCATACAATCAGAATTTTACACCTGAACGTAATTATATTTTCCCCAATAAATTGTGAAGCTGTCGACTTACTGGAGCTGTTCTTTGAGTTTATTTATGTAAAGCAGAGATAAATCATGATTGTGCCTTTCCTTCCACAATAAAACTTCACATCGAGGATTCTTGCATTCATTGTGTTTCTGTCTGGCCAAGGCTTTCATAACAGACTGTTCAAATGTAAGAGATCGGCCCATGCTCTATAACAAATCAAACACATTTTGAATCATCAGATTAAGTCCTTTCTCCCACAGGATTTCGTTGCCATGACATTTCTTGAATAGATATTACATCAAATACTAGTCCTTTAAGTTGATCTTTATATATTGTGAGTAGAAAATATTAGGTGGGTATTTTTATGTACCACTAGTCGCATTATCTTTCGGAAGCAGAGGGCCGTGTTTCCTACAGTTTTTGAAATTGAGTATTTTTTTTTAAATTTCATATTATACGAGGATTGTTCGGAAAGTTCGTGGACTACCGTCATAACTTTTTTACTTAAAGTCATATTATACCCAAATTTGGAAGAAATATTTCAACATTAAATTCAAATGATGTGTATTAAAAATTTTTAAATACAGTGGTTTATTTCAAGCTTAATAGACTTAAAAATGCGAAAATCGGATCACGGAGCAGGTCAAAATTTTGTAATGTGCAATCAAGACACTAAATAATTTCTGAAGTCATATCTTCTGTAAAATGACACAAAAAGGAAAAAATATACAGGTTCAATTTAAGAATTATTTCATCGTTTCTGATTCTGAATTATGACTTAATATTTTGCTTCGTTGAAAAGAAATCAGTTTTAGAAGATAGGAAGATAGGTAGTCCTCATTGAAAAAGACAAAAAAGATGACGTCGTAGAACATTACAGAGCAGCAGTTTTGTACTCTGAAAAACTCAAGAAAAGAATTCCGAAAATGCCAGAGGAAGTAGGAAATATGTCAAAAGCGAGCCATGCATGTGTGTGTATATGGTACAAGCGGTATTTGAATGATAGACTACTCTGCTTAGACGATGGTGATCTGTGAGAAAACGGATTATCTGTAAAAATATAATCAAAACATTGAAAAGTTAGTAACGTCATGCTAAGAGTTTGGCGCTTCACAGATGCTAATCTTGTGAAATCACATTTATGCAGTGAAAAAAATATATCATTGACAAACAAAATAATGCTACTGGAACAATTGTTAGCAAAATAGATTTCAAGTGATAGAGAAACGTTTTTAATGAGTGCACTGGTATTGGGCAATACTCTGTGAAATGTATATATAGGGATAGTATTTTTGAGAACCTCATGTCGGTATGTTTTGACGTTACAGTGTTGTTGAGTTTGCTCCCTGGTTACAAAACGTTTTGATTTTAAAATCAAATAACATGAATTGTATTAAATCACAGGGAATGAAACTTCACATTTAAACAAAATAAATATTTTTACATATGATAATGTGCTCATTTTAAATTTCTTGAATATAGTAAAACGAAGATTGGCATAGTCCACGAACTTTCCGAACAACCCTCGTACATTAAATCTGTTAATAAGAAGATGGGTGAACATGACGAGCGAAAAGCCTATAGTGAGACAAACATGAAGGTGAAAAATTAAATCTCAATTATATCAAAATTTTCCTTGATATTTCATCTAACATTAAAATAAACTTTACGTAAAATCTCTACAACTGGCAAAAATCTCACGAAGATTGAAATTATTTGTTTATGAAATATTATACACACACTAAAGAGGGCAAAAAGATCCATTTTCTCAGACTATATATATAACACTATTTTTCGATATGAGTGCATGGGTTTTTGCTCCATTTTTTTGAAAGTTAATCCTCAAAGTTTGCATAAAAATAAACATTTTTTGGTTACCAAAAATATGGAGCAAAGACCCACTATACCTTAAAGATATACTTTTATGACATAACATTCGCATCTTTTCGAGAAGTCCACTAAGTCAAGGGTCATATCACAAAGATGATTAAAATGCCAATATTCATCAGGACTTGTGTAGTCTAGTGATTGCCATGGCGTGCTAGTCTCGAAAGAAAATGAAATTAAGGATTTTTATTGCTAGGGTTCGAACCCCCACGAATACCACATTATTTTTCAATAAAAGAATACATGTATATTTTGCCGAGAAAATTTTCCTCAGAAAAGTTTTGTTTATCATAATTTTATAAATTTCAATAATGAGAACTGTACTCTAAATACTAAATTCACAAATTGAACACGTTTTTTTATATAGCTGAAGCTACAGGCTTTCTACCCCCTATGTTCGCCCATCTTCTTTCCCGTCCTCTTAAAAATCGCTGCTGGCCTGATACTTACCAAACTTACAAGTGAACAACACATATTTTTGTCGTATTTTCTGATACTTACCAAGCTTACAAGTGAACAACACATATTTTTGTCGTATTTCCGGAGACAGCGACGACCGAATTTGAAATACAAATGTTCCATTAGCAACACCAAACCACCAAGTAGTACACCAGAAGCCAGCAAAATGAAAGCACTGGTAAAATTTGGAATACCAATGGTATGGCTGGATTGGCCTCGTTTTCGCTTCACGTGACAAGCACCAGCCAACCAGAATCTTCTTAATCTTTCTAGTTCGCCTGCGTATGAGAAGAGTAGTTGTTGAAGTTTACCTGCTTATAATCACGAATAAGCGAGTGTATTTAAAAAATTGAGAGAAACTAAGCACATCTAACAAGTCATGCAATTTTTTCTGCAAGATTACCATTTTCTTGAAGTTCCAGAATGACCTCGTTAATCTCCTCCAGATGTTTGGCCTTCTTTTGGGGGACAGCAATACCGTAACCCGTCATGGCGTATTTCTCTCCTACCGTCTTCAGCTCGCAGTTGTCGTCATTACCCGTATGATACTCTAGAGGAGTGGCATCGTAAATAAAGGCTTGAATCTTCCTAAAGATACATTATCAACTAAATGACTTGTAAATAAACTTTGAAACATTCATGGCAGCAATTTTTGAGGAGGGTTTTGTATACATTTACAGTAGAGGCACGAATCTTTTCTGGAACATTATGAAACATGGTATATTTGAAAATTTGTGATTAAAAATCAAGATTTTTAACCTGTAGTGTGACTTTTATTGTCATTAATGAATATTTTTAAATATTTGATCTGGTAAAATCATCAACAAACAAACAACCAACGATTAAGGATGTATTCAACAACTGTGACAAATCTTATTTTATTGTTTTGTTTTTTGTTTTGTTTTGTTTTTGTTTTTGTTTTTTTTTTTTGCTCAAAGGCATATGAGGGAATATGTGGTCAAAATAAATTTCTTGCCAACTATTACTATAAAGGAAAATTTTGAAATAAAAATCTCAGCAATCTAAACACTGTTCTATGTTTACCCTTGTTTGAGAGCTTTAACGGCGTCGTCCACCGTTGGTCTGTTGTAGCGTTGCATGTATTTGTACATATTGTAATGATTCTTTCTAAGGTTTTCCTCGGTGCTTCCATTAGGTATAGTGGCAAATTTGAACGGAGGATTCATGAAGTATGGATTGGTCAGCTAAAAAGGCAAAGATAGTGACACAATAAAAAAAAGCAAAACATATTGAAATTCGAAAAAAAAAGTTTGGCATGATATTGTCCTACATGTTACTAGTTTGCTTAGACCGTAGGTCATCGAAGATACATTTGCTTTTTTGTTTTTCGATAGATATTTAGAAAAACACCCCCCCCCCTTTTTTCCAACAAGTGTATGCATAGGACAGATTACTGAGTGCTCCCATGTTTGATTTTTATAATATTGAAATCAAATGTAGGACATTCTCTTTCCTAAATTGCAATTGCAATAAAAAAAAAGATGTTGATATATTATTCGTTAGTCTTAAATTTTGAATCATTGCCAGATTTGAGGTATTTTGAAACATAATACGACGTAATACGAAACAATCAAATAAAAATTTTTTGCCCACAGATTCTGAAAAAAAATCACCTATTACTTTAACATTTATGCTTTAGGGTACTCTTGCTCTTTCACCATATTGCATATTTTCTAAATTGATTTGGAATTGCAATTTCAGTGGGGCTGAATCACTTCATTATGAAGTGTTGTCAGTTCACTGCACCCGATTTAATTGTTCATGAAACACTTTTTTTTAAACGAAAGCAATATAGCATTAAAGGTGATAAAATCACTTCGATCGTTATCCTGAGCAAAAAAAAAAAAAAAAAAAAAAAATGGTTTGCGTAGATGGAAAACACGAGCATACCCTCCAGTCTTTTATTCCAGACAAGTTGTAATATTCATCTTTCGTGATCATGAAAGCGGCCAGATTTGCTGTATAGGATGCCAAGAAGACTAATGCGAACAGAGCCCACACATTGGAGAGGAATCTACTCGAAACCCCTCGAGGGTTGTCTGTGGATACAGAGGCGCCAAACAGCATTGCCCAGATTAACCAAAATGACCGGAAGAGGGAAAATCTGTGCTCTATATGATAGCAAAAAAGGGAGCGTTTTTTAAAAATGTTTACCTTAGAAAATAAATTTTACACTTTAGTTATTGCCTAAACCAAAATCTAAGAAAATTTTAAATAAAATTTGGCTCATTAATGTATACATTTATTTAGTTATTAACTTTCAATATGAAGTTTATTTAAAAAAGTAAGTAAAACGAATTTAAAAATTTGTTACCATTACTTGAGATTTGAAATAATTTTACATAAAGAAGTAACGAGTAAAAGATCACACAAGTAGACTATATTTTTTCAGTGCTAGAAAATCTCAAGGAATAAGCCGTCCAAAATACTTTGCTGAGCGTCCCCTCCTAATTCAGACATGGAAAGGAATAAAAGATAGATCTATTCCTTTCCACATCAGTAGTGTTAATCTTGCATAGAATTGACACAAACACATTTTTCCGTCACCCAATACATAACAAAAACTGTTCGGACACTCAGTAAGGAAATTCGGACGGAAGAATCAGAGCAAAGATTAATTGAAAAGTTGAAGAGAAATAAAGAAATACGATGTGCTTCATCTTTTTACAGGAAGATTTACCTCTCCGTTACCTCTCAATGGAGTGGCGCCCCTGTTTAGTCCTCTGGGGCTCAGCCATTCATAAATAAATATGGCGGCTCCAGTCACATGCACACTGAACACCAAAATGACGCACCATGACGGATAATCGTACGGCTCTGAAAGCCAAGGAAGAAGGCAAGTAGAATAAAACACATCGAATTAATAAGAATAGGCAAAGGCGCTGTATGTAAAAAGAGAAGTCTCCTGGAAAGTTTCATATGGAAATGCTGTTCGATTGCTTAAAGGACTTCGAAACTATTATACAAATAAATGTATTAAATGGTTCAAATTTGAAACTTTTAATTAGAAATTTCAAACTTTACAAAATACAAGAAGTGACCAAGAGGAAATTGAATATATGGTGAAATTTCATTTCTGTCGATTAAAGTAACAATGGGGCATTATTAATTAAACAGCATTTCCTTTGTAGAATTGTAAAAATTGTGAAGCAAAGTATAAGAAATCACAAGAAAAAAATGCTTTCAAAGCAGTGAGTACAACTACAGATGAAGAGAAGACACAAACATACATCCATTTTGCACGCAAAAAAGATGTACCTTTTACTTTCGTTTTCAATCCTTCAGATTGAGAAAAGATTTCTAGCAGCCATATGAAAAAGGCCACTATAGGTAAGGTAAAAAGTAAGAGAAAAAACCAGTAAAAACTGCCATGTGTATCTGAAACGACAAGATTAGAACTACCTTTGTTCTGATACCCACATGTGCATTTTATAAAGAATATATAATTTACTGTATACATTTTTCATGCAGAATAATATATAAAGAGGGGTAAGTATATTCTTCAAGTAATTTCAAAGGAAAGTATAACGTCTCATATTCAATTTTCACTGTTAACATTTTTTTGTATAAAATCCTTTTGTTAGATATTAAATATATATTTGAATGTAATATTTTCAAATTTTTATTATTCTCTAATTGAATAAAATCATGTTTCAGGTGGGAAAATTCCATCAAGAGATTGGTTTCAAGGTTTCACAGATATTGTCATGATTATTGAAAAATGAGATTATGGATACATCACCAAGAAGACTGTACGATGAATACATGTCTACAAGCCTAACAGTGTATCTTATAAAGTACATATGCATAATTATATATCCGGATAAAGATTTTAGGATGATGGAATTGGTTGACATTCGTATCCTTTGTCTAAACACTATTATCTTTTATTTTGTGCATCATAAATTTAATTCTTTACATTAAATGCAAGTGTTCGACACAAATTGTTCTTATCAAATCTCTGAACCAAAGAAATCATTGGATAACAAACCTAAGAATGCCGTAGGTGATATGTTCCCCTTTCTGATAGAGACCATTATAGTGATGCCAGTCTCCAAAAACGGGATGGAGAAATCGACAACCTCACTACGTTTTGGGGTTATTTTCAGTGACGTCAGCACCATGTCTGCCAAACCATCCTGAATTTGCTTAATTAATCCGTTCCACTCTCCCGTTTGCTGAAGTCAGACAAAAGAATTATGATTTTATGCTCCTTCTAAGTCTTTTAACTATTAATGATTTCATTTACTTTGGCTTACCCTGTGATATAAACATGTAATGTTCTATATTTCATCTAACTACAAATGACTTGAGATTGCAAATACAATATATTTAGAGTTAGAATTAACGTGTCAAATCATAGATCATTGTTATCATTTCCAAATTTTATGTAAATTGATTAATGTTGACACTTTGTCATTTTCTTATTCTCTATCCTCTTTAAAATAAATATAACGTCTGAAGAGAAGAAACGCTTTGACAGCTCTAAGAAGACCTATACATTTCCTTAATATCAAGGATACGAGGTTCGTTCAATATGTAAAGCAGCATACAGTTTATCATAATAAATGAAGAAATTTATTTTCACAGTAGAGAGGTACTATTTTTAAAAGAACTTATAATCACCGAAAACTACATGCCTTTTCCTTTAATCTTCCCAAATAAGTTCACCTTTAAAGTAAGCATGGTCACTACACTGAGCTGAAAACTGTTTAAAACGGTCTGTGTCAAGAAGATGAAAATGAGGGAGTATGTAAAAATTGCTCTTCATTACAAAATTCGCTGAAGAACCAGTATGAAAGATGTGGTTTGGATATCTGGAAAAACAAGCCTTTCACGCTCTGCAGTGTTCACACGGGTTAAGAAATCCCAAAATGGAAATGGTGTATTACAAGATTGCAGTTGAACAGGTCGATCAAAATCTGTATAGAGACACCAAAAATGTCGATGCTGTGAGGAACAAGATATCTGTAAATGCCAGATTTCCCGTGAAAGACGTTGGTAAGACTCTAAACATTTCATCATCACAGCTTTAAAGAGTTCTGACGAAGGAAATGTGAATCAAAAAACATTTCTTTATCAGATGGGTGCCTTATTTCCTTACAGATGCCTAAGAGAAAATATGCATGAAATGTATCAATGGTCTATTAAAAAATAAACATTATATTACAAAAAGAAGGGTGATGGGTGTCAAAACATTGGTGCATTTATTATTGCATAAAAAGAAGAACAATAAAAAAAGTGGAATCAGAGAAAAAGCTGTCGTCTCACTGCAAACAGAAGCCAAAGCTCAAAACATGTTTATACAGGTTTTCTCTTTAGTCAAGATGTCTGATAATACACGAACCTTCACCTAAAGGAAGGACCGTCAGTGACAGTTTATATGTTAAAATTGCAATGAGGAATGTTCAGCAGCTTTTCTTTGAGGGAAGTCCAAATATCGGTTCTCTGAGTTAAATTTCTTATGTCTGACTTAGTAACGCTGCTGCAAAAAAGCATAGAGATGTAAAGGAAATTTTGAAGGAAAAAAAACGTTTACAGAGTTTAGACATCCACTGTATTCGCTAGATCTCAGACATTGTGAGGTCTTTTTATTCCAAAAAGTCAAGAAAACAATCAAAGGAAGAAATTACAATTTTTGGTATATAAAGGGGGGTGCTATTCATCGTTGTCATTTGAGCATCCCTAAAAAAGAGTGTGCTGAGGTGTTCTGATCATCGGTACAAAGACTTTAGACATGTGTAAAGGTTAACAGGGAATACATTGAGGAATTAAAATTATAAAACAACTGATTCTTGTAATTTTCCTATTTTTAGATCGCATTTTGCATTACTTATTGAACGACCCCCGTATCCATGTTTTTAATACAAAAAATATTTTGCGAAGATAATCACATTTACGATAAAATCTAACAAAAACTCCTATTGTTGTCCTAAGAATCAATATCTATTAATGTAATTATCTCTTGAAATCTACATTTCATCTCACGATTTTTCAGACATAAACCAATATAAAAAAAGAAGATTCCCAACCTGATCTGGGAGTCCCCATGTTTGGTCTGGAACCTCGTACAGTTCGTAATCAAACTGCATCCTGGAGCTGAGTACCCTTAAGATATCGATACATAGCCCAGCACAGCACCGAGAGACCGTTCTGTTTTGTAGAGAATTGTCGTAGGCACTGAAAAATATTTTTTGTGGGGGATATTCATTTCAGACATATAAGGATTAAATGTGGACGTCTGGCAACAATGGAATGCGCTGAATTAAAAAAAAAATAAACAAATTAAACTCAATCGTTGTTTGGTCTCGATAATGGTTAGAATTTCATTAAAAGCTTTTTCAACAATCGGCTATAATGAAAAGGTGAAGATATATAACGAACAGTGATTTGTCTTAAAAATCTATATGCAATACAAATTTGTGAGAGGGTTTAAAACACGGATCTCTGAAAAAAGGAGGTAGAATCAGGTGACTAGGAGAAGTAAGCATCCCCCTCGACCGGTTTCACTAGCCGCCGTGAACCCTTTGTACTGATCAGGTAGATGGAATAATCCGTAGTCAAATTGAATATAAAAACAATTTCCTAGCAATTGGTATGAAATATGTCGGTCAAAATACGACCCAATGATAGGTTGTTTTTGCAAACAAGGTCATTTTACCGACCATAGAACTTTCGAAAAGCGGACTTTACAAGAAGTTGTTGAAATCCTTGTAACATCAACTTATTTGTCAGTTACCTGCTTCAGTTTATAAATTGATTGTACTCAGAGCATGCTTTTGCGTATCGAATCAGTTGGGAGACATAAACACCATATGCAGGCGAATATAGTGGAAAATTACAATATAAATAGGAAAATTGCGGATGGAAAAGCTGAAGTCATCTCGTTTGTCGTGCAGTTGTTAGTTGGCCATTATTGTCTAGAATCAATTAAATATCCAAATATGAAACAGATGTGGCAGACTTTGTGGTGTCTTTTATTTCGAGTTCACTGGGATATATTGAGTCGACTTATGAAGAAAAGTAATTATTGTTAATTGATAAAACGTCTTCGATATATCTAAATGTCGAGTTGAAGGCCACAGCTAGAGTTTTCTTTTTCTTGTGTAGAAATTATTGAATAAATTCTGCTTCATAGGAATTTAAAAACAAGTCGGCTAATAAAGGAGTACAATTAGTGTCCCACGGAATTCTAAAATATTGTTGGACAATCTGGTATCCAAAAACTACATAAATGTTGTCAATGAGGAACTGTAACAACTTTTTAATACGAACCTCAACACTTGTGTGTTGAATCAGAATGATTTTTAACAAGTAATTTTGTAAATGACCAATCACAAAATATGAAAATTCCCGAGTTCCATTTTCATTGAAAAAGCAATTATTTATGATATCAAAAATCCCAGTCTTAAATTTATCACGGAGAATGGTTCTATAAAGTGTAGAAAAGACCTTTTATGGTACTGACTTTTGAAAAAAAAATGTGATTTTAAATTTTCTAAAAGTGTTCTTTGGAGTTATTTGTTAATCCACATTTGATTTTTACCACTTCTTAATTATGCTGTAGGACAGTACATGTGAAGTTGTTCCTTCACAGCAGTTAATATTTTGTGAGGAGTAAAGATAGTGGCTTGGTAGAGCTGGATCCTGCAATGTCTTTATCAGGAGTTTTATTAAGTTTATAAATCCAGTATAGGTATCGTAAACCAAACTCACTTTCACTTTTCCTCACTATGAATGATACGTTTAAAGGATGAGTCACATTTTATCGTTTGCAAAACAACAAATTACGTAATTTCCGAAAAAAAAACTATTTCTGATCTAATATCAAAGAAATTGCAAACCACATTATTGTGATTGTATCTCCAAATTGTTATTACAATAATAAATCTTTTAACAAAATATATTATATGTATTTGATTTATCTTCTAGTACATGACTTAAGATAAAATGTGTGATCAAATAGGAGTTCACGGAGCAAAGGGAGTAAAAGAGTTCTTGACAAATATACTAAGTATTTTTCATAATCGAGGTAGCTTGAAAGAGCAATTCAACTGTGAATTCATGCAACCTTCTGAATAACGAGTAGATACTAGTACCTAGCCTTAGAATTTCATTTTTAAAACAAAGATATATGACCTTGGTAGAAATTTAAACTAGAATTACTGTGAGCACCGAGCTCACAAAATGATACCCCTCCCCCATTCCCATATGAGTATAATGGCAAAGTCAATGTTTTGCAATGGGAAAGTCTGATTAAATTATTCAATGGTATAGGAGGAGATGGTATAGGAGGAGATAAAAGATGGGTATCCAAAGTGTTAAGGAAGGACAGACACTTCCATCAGTATATAACCCCGCTTTTCAAGCGGGGGATAAAAATAAAAGAATCTTGTCACATAGTTAGCTGTACAAAACTCAATCTGAGAAAGTCCGAACCCCTTTAATGTAACATAAAAGAACTCTGTAGAAGTACAGATCTACAAGTACTACATATGTAACATTTCAGACAGCCTAGATTTACTAGTAATTGATTCAAGTTTTTCAACTAAAGCAAAATCTTTACATAACTAACCATTGCATTATGAATTTACAACTATTTTTAAACACTGTCCATAGATTTACAAATAACCTTAATTCCTTAATCTTGACAAAGTGAATAATTTCTTACAAAGAAAAAAAAATCAATTGATAAAATGCTTAAAATTCGGAGGTCGCTAAAATTCGCAATTGTGTAAGGTCTCTTTCCAGAACGATCATAGTAAAGCATCGTTACACACGTATTTTGAATATTTTCTAGAAAACAAAACAAATATAAGATAAAATAGAATAAATAAATGAATAAATAAATAAATAGAACCTTAACTCACGGGTTAATCTTCTTCATCAGCCGACACGGTACAGCAGGCGGTGGACATTTTCCATTAGCATCCTTGTCCAGGTAGAACACATAAGGCTTTTCCTTTAAAGTGACAATCCTCATAAATCTTTTCTCGGGTTTTCCCAGTGGGGGTAACACGGCATTTCCCGGCCATGTAATTCCTGACATCTCGACAATCATTTCTGCTTTGTGTGTGACATTCGATTCAATAGGTACCCATCTACCTACCTTCATAAATGACACAAAATTACTATATCCACGTTTGATCAGCTGATAATTGAAATTAGTCCTAATATAGCAAAAAATATTAAAACAACCAAACTCTCAATCGTGTTATTTATAAAACTGTATTTTAAAATAAAGAAACCTTCAAATTAAAGCTTATCAGTTTTTCAAATAATATTATACATGTAACAATTAATAGACCTTAAACAATATAAAACAAAGACATATAAAACACACAAACTAACAAACACACAAACTTGATCATACTTAATGAACATGTGTATACTCTTAAACTCCCTGTTTTGAGTTCAGTAAACTAGTATGATAGGTAGTATGCAGCATTAGCATCGGGTTCATTGTGATAGCGTTGTAATACAGCTTATTGCATTGTGATAGAGTTGATTGCATTGGGTTCATTGTAATGGTATTGTTTAAAGGCTGCATGCATTTGGTTCATTATAATAGTGTTATGTTTAACATTAATTACATTGGGTCTTTATAACAGTGTTATGTTGAATGTTGTTTCATTGAGTTCACTGTTGTGAAATGCCCGTATTTATTGCATAAGTTCATTATAGCGGAATTTTGATATACTGCAGTAGTTCTTGCATTGGATTTCTTGCAATAGAGTTATAATAGAGCTTAATATAATCAGGTTCATTGTAATAGTGTTTTGATTCACATCTTGCATATGGTTCATTAAAAAAAGTGTTATAATATATAGCTTATTGCATTGGGATCATTGTTAAAGTGTTATGATAAAGCTTATTACTAGTGTTCATTGTAGGAGTTTTATGATATAACTGCAACCTTTTTCCAAGAATATATTTATATTATATTTAATTATATTAATATGCATTCATGATATTCTTTATTCCGTTTCGTCTGTGTGTTGATGCACAATCCTTTCTCCTGTATCGTAGGTTTATTTAACAATGTTGTTCGCTGATGCGCGATCGTTTATTTAATTCCAAAAGTCCATTATTTTTAATGTGAATTAGTTTCCCTTTCGCTTTCGCTCAACTTAAAATAGTGTTGTGAAAGATACGCATTCTTTACCTTCCTTTCTTATTTATTACGATTTAGTCGTGCTATGATGTGAAATCCTTACCTCTTTCCAGACTCTTGAAATTTTATGATTTTCAGTCAACTGCTGAATATTCACTATCCTTAGTTTTACAAGTTGGTTCACACCGTTGTTGCTGAATTGAACAGGTGTAGGCCTGTCCAATCGAACATTTCTCATCACTCTACAAATGAACAAATTTAAGTTTGATTTGAGGCTGCTTAACATCCTAGCGAGATATTCACTCATATTAAGTTAATTGTCAACAACAGTGATGTCGCCCTATATATCTTTGTCGCCGGTGACAATGCATGTCGATATTTAAACAGTACATCATATCATCGCCGGCTTAATAATATAAGAATACCTTTACGAGCAAAAATCAAGTTTTAAAAATTAAAATAAATGCTAGTGATGATTATGAATTTCATTTTTGAAATATATTTGTATTTTCCGAAAAGTTGGCCAACAAGTTGGCAACAAGGTTATCAGCAAAAAAGTAAAATGTGTAAAGATTTGGACAATAGATCAAGGATTTTCAGTTCCGAAGATGGCAGGAGTTCACAGGAATTATTAAATTCTAAAATAATTATAAACACCACAGAAAAAGGAAATGTGATAGAATTAATCTCTTGAGCCGCATTATCTAGCCTTGTACAACCACTGATCATATTCACATAATGCATTAGTGGATAACTGTATCCATTTATAATTGTTATTTGTAATGTTTTATTTTATATTTATTCAAAACTTTTTTATACCATACGTGGATGACATCGCTATCCATAGCTCATAACATTTGTATCATTAGTGGAATGTGTATCATTAGTAGTTAACAGGCTGCTTCATTTAATAATATTCATTTTCATGAATACGTTCCTTTGAAACTCGAAAAAAAGACACCACAGAGTCTGACACATCTTTCATACTTGGATGTTTAACTAGAGAAAAACATTAATGACAAACTAACAACAAAACTTTATAATAAACGTGATGACTTCAACTTTTCTATCTTCGACTTCTGAATTGTCTACGGATTTTTCGGTTTGCCCGACCATAACAAGGAGCTCACGGCGGGTGTGAACGGGTGACAGGGGATTCTTACTCCACTGTGGCACCTGATTGATTGATTGATTGATATGTTGTTTTACATTCCGTTCGAGCATTTTTCACTCATATAGAGACGTCACCATATACCGGTGAAGAGCTTCAAATTTGTATTGTTTGATGGACTTTCGAGTTTGATTACTGTTCGTTTTCTTCATATTTCCTTAATGATACAATTAAATCTTCTAAGATGCAAAGTCTCCCACTGAAGCTGCATTATATCACAAGTGGATATTAAATCATTAATGAGACACTTATCACTAGTGGACTAAAAATCATTAATAATACATAATATCATTAGTGGATCTATCATTAACGAATACTGCATGTTGAAAAAATTTAAAAGTATAAATTCTTTATCTTAAACGTTACATAAAAATCCAATCATTTCTACTTTAGTCTTTATGGTTGCTTGACTTCGCAGCATGAGTGTTAATGTGTTTTCTCCGTGTTTTAAAATGCATTGATTTTGGTCTATTTTATTTTATTTTGAGGAAAAGTAGAATCTAACATTCGTGATGATTCTGAATCCATCTGTTTTTAAATTCATATAAGAGAGTAAATAATCTAAATCGATCATATTTTCTGTAAATTAATTCTGTGTAAAGTTTCCAATCTTATTAATATACTTTATTGATATTTTATTAAAAGGAAAAAAAAAATAAAGTACTCGGTACAATTCATGCGTGCAAAACTACAGATATTTCAACAAATGTCCCAGATAATGAAGTTATTTGTCTGCATATTAGCAATAACACTTAAAGAATCCAGTGATTACTGGATAAAAAGTTTAGTTATATATCCCTGCATCTTAAAAACATTTTTTTTTAGAAATCTATCATAGGAATTGTCATATTGTAATCATTTTTGAAGTATGATTTCAATCTTCTGGAATTGGTTTGAAGGATGCAATTTTCATTGCATTCAAAATCTGCGTACTTGTTCCTTACTGAATGTAATAAAAATCAACTCTGTTTGATAACCAATTTAACAGCTAGAAAATATTAATGTAGTAAGAAATTGGTTTCTGCGCTCTTGAAAGAATCAAACCACAGATAGTTATCTCATATTCACAGCTTTCCTGCTTAATATAATAGACTTCTTAATTTATAATACAGAAAATCAGATAGCCCGGCAAATTAGTTGACAAATACATTACTTAACCCATGAATGCGACCAAGGGTAATTTGCCATCCAAATTATGGCAATCTCACCGATAGAACTTTTCTCCATCCATCCATTGTTGGAGAGGCTGTTGAGAGAGGCAGGAAAAATTGGGAGATATTTTATATTGATCTTTGTTTGTATACGTTTTCTTAAGAGTCTCAACCCATAATCTGACTGAAGTCTTCATTGCATCGTCTATCAGTTGATCTTCAAATCCATCCTTGGAAATGCTGGAATATGTAACGCCTGCAAAACATTATGTATTTATAACAGCAGTGTTTCCAAAACGATTATTGCATGTTAAAAATGCAATTGGTCATAAGGATATTTTTATTAAAGATTGTCGATAAAAATGCTTAGAATAGACAGCTTAAAAATCATATTAATTAATCTGAAACACATACCATGAGATAAAGTAAAAAAAAAATACAACTCGAGAATATGAATTGAACAAGTAATAAAGATAGAGACATACATTAATTACTGGGTATTGAAAGCGGGGCAAAAAATGTTTTTAAAGAACTGTAAAAATAACCTACAAACGTATATCACTTTATTTATCAATCTTGATCCCATTAAGGGAATGCTAGACCTAACTATAGTTAAGACTACAGGGGCTAGAAAGGACAGCTTTGCGCATTCTTATTTATAATTTTGTCTCTTCGCTACTCCATGAGTTTATGTGAAAGAATATGTCAGAATGTCGATAATTTGAAGAAATGCTGGTAAAATGTACACTCTCGAGAGATTTCAATCCCTCTAAAAAAGAATTACCAATTCGTGATGAAATCATTCTGCGTTCCCTTGATAATTGGCTTGCTCAGTGCGCATGTCAGAGCCAGTATTTAATATAAATCCGCTTTATTGAATTTTAAAGTTACAGAAGATAAAGACAAAATAGAGATGATAGTAGACGCTATTTTCTCTCGAAAATTCGTGATTTTACAGGATATCGTTGAATGATACAATTCAATTGGTTCCTAATGTTTGTTCTTGTAGGATGTGTTGAATTTGTGTCATATTTATTATATATCAATCGCCAACAATTGATATATACCAATAAATCTTTTTGAAATGCTCAAATTGATTATAAATACTAAAAAAAAAACTTTACTGTATATCAATCAGTGTAGGAGTATACTTTTGACATGGTTTACTTATTGATTACATCCTCAAGCAAATACAAATTAACGTAGGCCTGTATAATTTCACAACTTTATAAAGTTAAAAAAGCATGATTTGGACAGGTACATGTACTTTCTATAGGAACCCTACTACGAAAATAAAAATTATAACGATTATTCAAACCCATACCAGTGTCACTGTATTGTGAATAAATAATATGACAGTAACTTAGAAGTATCCCTTATACGTATATGTGGATCATTATTGCACAAGCCTTGAATATTAGACTGAATGAACTGAATATAAATTCAGATTTTAACTTTTACCAGAGCCGCATTAATTACTGCTTGGAAATCGACTATGATAGCTTTTTTAGAGCACTGTACAGTATTCTTAGGGACTTAGACTTTATGGTTTGATTGATCAGCACTGTAGGTTTGGTGATACCAGCTTTGGCAAGTCTATTGGGATGCTATATGTCAGAATCAGTAAACACAGAATATTCATATGATATCATTGGCAAAGAGGAAGACAAACAAGAGAAAGAGGAATGAAAATGTCATAAACTTAATACCAACATCGAGTATAAACTAGAACAGTATTTTTTGAATAGTCAAACCTTTAACTGATAGAAAATAAACTAAGAACTCAAGCAAATTCAGGGAAATGTGGTCCCCGCTTTTGGAATCTTATTAGTTGTGTGGAATGAACCAATTGGCATATAGTATTTTTTTTTGTTTGTCCATCATGTTATAAAAGTTTTATATTAATTTTTTAAAGTAATATGTTCTGGTGCAAACTTTATAGCCAACTGAAATTTTTCAAAAGTAGGTCAAACGTCAAGGTCAGGAAGTAAAAAATCATAGTAGTACAATTAGAAAGATCTTGATGAAGGTAATGCACAAATGTAAAAATATGAAACGCCTTGTCTTTTCAGGTACATGGCCATGGTTAAAATAGTTGAAAAGTAAGTCAGACTTCACGGTCAAGGTCAAAACAATAGGTAAATACATTTAGAAAGGTCTACTCACAGGTATTGCACACAAGAAACATGAAAGCCCTATTTTCTGTCATTTAAAATTTAGCTACATTTCTTACTAAAGTTAGAATTTTTGAAAAGATTGTCAAACTTCAAAGTTAAGGGGAAAAATAACAAAATATTTAAGTCAAGGTCTTCCTACAGGTAATGCACATTTGAAAAACAAATAACCCATCTTCTCTATATCGAAAGTTATTATTAAAGTTAATTTTTTTGAAAAGAAGGACAAAATTTAAGGCCAAGAGATCAAAATTCAAAATATTTGAAACATTTGGGTCATGGGTAATATACAACTGAAATATAAAGGCCCTATCTTCTCTCATTCAAAAGTTATATCCAAAGTTAAAATTTTTGTAAAGTAAGTCAAACTCCAAGGTCAAATGGACAAAAATAATGGCCTTGTCACAGGTAATGCACATGTGAAATATGAAGGCCTTATCTTCTCTTATTCAATAGTTTTGACCAAGATAAACGTTTTTGCGACTGATTGACAGATAAATAGTCGTACAGACAGACGAATGAGATTAAATGTCCTCGCGCATTCGCGAAAGCGGGGGACAAATAAGAAAAGAATATATACTATCATGTTGTAAATTTTCAATGAATTGGATATAGGTAAATGCAAATTTAAAACATGTAAATTTTGCATTAATCTCCACCAATAAATTCAAAATTTACATGAAAAAAAGCTGGTGTGTTTCGAAGACACATTGGAGTTGAATTCCGGATAGAAGGTTCATCTCAAGTTCACAGTTTCCTTACTACAGGTAAGAAGAATAAAGATACTATTGATTTAAGACTTTTAAACTCATCATGTCCACAATCACACATTTAAGAGCAGACTGCTCATAAATCTTATAATAAATTATTGAAATAAAGGGAAATGTATTTCGATAAGTAGAGCATATAGCCTACCTAAACTTCCGAGGGGATAAGCTCTTGGTGGTCTGGAATAGTCCATATTTCCTAAGCAGAAAGAGGACATGATCCAAATGTATTCTTTTCCCGTTAGACCAAGTTCGTCTGCTACTTCCAATATGTCCTTTGCCTCTCTGGAACTTGAAACACATTTTAGAATAATGATTGTGACTAAATAAATTACTTAATTAACCGTAAGACCTGGATAATTACACGCAATTGTTGAATGAAATGTTAACGATAACAACAAAACAAGCATATAAACAGACAACAGCAAATTCAAATTAAAAACAAATCCATTTTATCAGTCCCACCCATCCATTCACCCCCCCCCCCCCCCAAAAAAAATAAATATAGTACTTTCATACAAATTATTAAATTAATCTCTCTTTATAATAAAATTGCTCTTTTTTAATTAAGGTTTTGTGATGAAGCCTCAAATGATGATATAAATGAACAAAATTTATACTGGCAGGATGTCACATATAAAATTGTTAATTCTCTTACAAAAACCTACATTTATTTCAACAAATCTATTATTTATTGAATAACTCAATATTTATGAAAATTTAGATGTTTGAGTGGTTTTTTTAAATAACTACTTTCTTGGTTTTTTTTAACATTGATAGAAATCTTTCTAACATACTATTTAAAAACATTAAAAAAAAAATAAAGTCAAATAACTGTATGCTTTCAGATTCATTTCCTAAATTATCTTAGTGATCAAATTATAATTTATTTCCCTTCATCAGTAGATGGGTTTTATTTTATATCTTAAAGGAAACTTAATTTAACTAAAGATATTATAATGCTTATAAGATTTAATATATGAAATATATAAAAATTAACATAGTATACCAATCAAACTTAAAAAAAACAGTAGGAGTTTCTTCAAGACAGAATTGGTGCTACTTAATAGGCATGTATCCCAGTAAAATACATATATAAGAATAGGACTTGCTTATTATATTTCAAACCTTTCACAGACTATTCTAATATAACACAAAAACTAATACAGCGTGAAATTTATATTTCATCGTATATGTAAGGTAATCGATGCATACCTAACATGGATAAGAAACACTCGGTTCTCCTGATTATTGTGTTTTAATAAGGCCTCTCTCGATTTTGTTTTGATCACTGTGTCGTTATCCAAGGGCCGGAGATTAACAACTATGGATGAGAGAAGATTGAATCTGCAAGACAAGTCAAGCAAATACACATTAACGGCTTATGAGAAATTAAAAATATAAGACATGGTCGTAAATTAGCCGTGTTGCTAAAATCAATGAGTTTTTGAGATACAACTATCTATTACGCTGTTGTTAGATTCTTTGTTCTCACTTCACGAGGAATGATTAGAAAGACAAGAATAACTAAGATACAGGTGTAAAGACGAGACAACATATGAGACAAGTTTGAATACGAATCTTTATGAATTCAATAATAACTCATGATTTTATGAATACTATCTTAAAATATTAGTGTTTAGTTCACTTTCTAAGGATGAAATTCTTCAAACTCTCATTTCAGTGTTTAATACTTAATAAAATTCCAGTCAACCAAGGTGACTTCGATATACTCTACTTAAACAGGATTCCTAAACTTCATAAAAAATCTAACAAAGATATATTGCCGGATCTAACAAATACTCTACCAAACCCTATCTTTACTCATCACAAAAATATTTAATGTGAAAAGGAGAAATCTCAGACGTACTGCGCTACAGCATTTTCTAGAAGTGGTGTAAATCAGATGTAGATTCTCGAAACTCCACAGATCTGTTAGAAAATTTAAAATCGCCAATTTTTCAAACGTCAGTAACATCAAAACGTGCGGTTTTTCTACACTTAATAAACTTATCCTCATGATAAATTGAAAACTAGATATTTAGGTATCATAAACAACTGCTTCTTCAATAAAAATAGATCTCGAAAATTTTCATATCTTGTAATTGGTCATTAACAAAATTACTTTGTTAAAATCAATCTGATTCTACACACAAGAACTCTGAAGTTGATATTAAAAGGATGCTGGAGTTCCTCATTGACAACATTTATGTAGTCTTTGGAGACCAGGTCTTCCAGCAAACTGTTGGAATTTTGAGGGCCACTTATTGTGCTCCTTTATTATCTGACCTGTTTTTATACTCATATGAAGCAGAATTTATTCAAAAACTTCTTCATGAGAAGAAAACTCCTGCTGTGGCCTTCAACTCGACATTCACATATGTTGACATTTTATCAATTAACATGGTTTGTCGACTCGATATATCCTTGTGAACTCGAAAATAAAAGACACCACAGAGTTCTGCCACATCTGTTTCATATTTGGATATTTTACTGACTATAGACGTTAAGCACCAATTAACAACTAAATTGTATGACAAACGATATGACTTCAGCTCTTCTATCATCAACTTCCTTTATTTATGTAGTAATATTCAGCTCTAACCAGCATATGGAATTTACGTTTCCCAATTTATTCGATACTCAGGAGCATGCTCTGAGTATAATCAATGTTTTAACCGAGGCAGACGTGGCAGGCTACTCACAAATAAGTTGATGTTACAGGGATTTCACAAACCTCGTTAAAAGTCAGCATTTTGTAAATTCTTTGAACGTTATAACGACCTTGTTAGCACATATAACCCATCAATGGGTCGTATTGCAGCTGACTTTTTTTCATACCAGTTGTTAGGGCTTTGTTATTACACTAAATTTGACTACGGAATATACCTTCCACTTGATCAATACTAAGGGCTCACGGCGGGTGTTATCGGTCGACAGGGGTTATTTCTCGAACCTAGGCACCTGATTCCACCTCTGAAATTTTCGGGGGTCCGTGTTTTATGCCCTGTTCATAGATTTGTGTTGTTTTATGGATTTGTGGATATTTTGAGATTGGTCACTGTTCGTTATCTTAACCTGTTTCATCCCCCCAGGACAAAAGAAATGCAGATTTTATTATGTTAATTTCTCTTCAAAGAAATATGGAGATAACGAACAGTAATCAAGCTCAGAAGTCCATTGAAACAATACAAATCGGGAGCAGAGCAAACACGGACCTCTAAAAACATCAGAGGTGGGATCAGATGCCATGGAGGAGTAAGAATCCCCTGGCGAGCGGTCACACGCGCCGTGTACTCATTGTCATGATGGGGCGAACGGAATTCCGTGTTTAAATAATGGCCTAACAATTAGTATGAAAAACGTCAGTCAGTATTATTCTGTGGAGATCTGATTAATATCAACTATTAAGTAAGACATAGTATTATCACAATTTTTACAATAAGAAACAATGTAAAAAAAAAAAAATGAAAATTGTGATTATAGATAATTTAGAAGCACTCGATGACTCGAATGAGAGGTGCTACGCATTAAATCGGCCTTCTGTATAGGGGGTTGATAAGGCGGATGATAATTTGATTTACTTAACTCAATTTGTCTGCATTTTCTCCTGACCATGTTTTGTTGCGTATAATAATGCAATAAAAACATTTTGAACATATGCTAAGGTCATTATTTTCCTCCAAAGTGTTTGAGAGAAAAATACACGATGTCATATGTGGTGTGATTTTGAATATGGTACATGTATATGTAAAAAGATCCTTCGAAAGTACCACGGATTGTTGCAAACAATGCTAAATTTCTCCATTATCGTGGTCTGATTTTGAGTACGTAAAGATATATAGTGTTAATATCAAATTTTTGTTTTCATTTTTTCCGTGCTGTTAGAGATTGTTGTATTGAAATGTCCTTAATCAAATCAAACCCTTTTCTCTGTTGCTGTAAAGAATATGACAGTACTGTCTTTTGCATTTTCTCTGCCTCGAATTGTTTTATCTTTCAAGACATTATAATAATATATTCCATATTATGAAAACATAAATTTGCGAAAGTCTCGAAAGTTACAGGGAAGTTGTTATAACATAGGTTATAAAAATATGTATTGTCTGATTGCCATTACATTACTTTCGATTGATTTCTTTGTTAGGACATATGTTTGAATTCTTGGAACGCTGGAAAAGACGTGCAACGTGTTCTATGTAACTTGAACTCTGAATGAGATATTTTATACTACTTCGTTTACGACATTGTTTCAACTCTGTTATTACATATACTAGTATGCTTAAAGTTATTGTTGTTATAATTATTTTTATTATAACTCTTTTGTTCAGTTCCCGGTGGACTCGTGCAAACTGGTACAAATGCATGAAAGTGTATGTATTTGCTAAAACGAGAAAGTTTGTCATTTTAGATAAAAAAAATTGTCCTGCAAATGTATGATACAGTAAGTCTATATAAAATCTTGTGTCTCAGAAGTTGGTGATACAATGTATTTTCCGATATTTCAACGTGAAAATGTAATCAAATTTGCCTCCGTAGAGGTTAATCTAAAACTAAGGATTCGATAACCTTTTGAACTAAAAAAAAACAAACAAACAAAAAAAAAACACTATACAGCTGGGAAAAAATCATATAGAACCTCCAACCTTTCCAAGACTGAACAATCAATCTCATTCCAAAAATTCTAACATTTAATTCTTTAATAACGTGTCAAGAAGAACACCTTTAGTAATTTTACTTATCATAATTTAAACTTAATCAGTCTAAGACATAATAGCTTTGGCAGAGGTAACGAAAGAGACACCTGGTGACAAGGAAAGGGTTATGTACATATTTAAGATTATTTTGAGCAATGTCTCGATCAAGAAAAACATGAAACTTAAGGAGACAAATAGATTCTGACAGAAGTCATAAATGTTTCAGAAAACCTGGAATCATTTCATTTTGCATTGTACCTATATATATTGAACCAAATTATCGTAAGTGAATACATGGGTGTTGTGGGTGTAAATCAGATTCTTTTTATGACAAGATCGTGCTAGTTGTTGACAATCGACCTGAAAATGTCACGACTTCCCAGTTTTATTAACACCAATGATATTGCCAAGACTTAGATTGATTTTTTTGAATACTGTTACTCCCCGGGAGTGTGGGTTTGATCTTAAGCAATGGTGACAGGAGTTATCCCAGGGGAGATAATCTGATTTCATTATGTTGAAAATAAAACGACTCAAAAGCTTGGTAATGGTAGTGAGATTTCCAGGAATAACATGAACTAAAGAGAAGCTTTAACATCTCCAAAACACAAGTACATTTGTATTTACAATTTGATATGGTTGGTTCAGAAAAACTGCCAATCAGCAATCAAAGATATATACATGTATATGCTTTCATTTGTATACAAAACTGATACACATGATCGTCTCGTCAAAACCAAATGGCTTTAATTGCATTAAAAGATTTCACCTTTTCCATTTTAATTTGGAAGGTTTGGAATCTTAATTTCTAAGAAATTGTGGTCACTCTCCCATCAATTCAATTTTTTTAACATGTATAAAGTGAACTTAAAGGTCGTCGAAGATTTTTTTCTAAATGAAATCCAATAGTATTTGGTGAAGAGAAGCTTGCATTATCGCGTTATATAACATTGAGACATATATACCTGCGTTTTCTGTCGTATTTGACTTTGGTGTTGTGCTCCTTGATGAGAATGTCAATGGATCCGGTAAATTCCAAATTATTAAACGTCGTCGTTGACACGATGGCGAAATTAGTCCAATTAAACCTCTTCAAAATGTCGAGCATCATAGCACATTGGTGATATATGGTCGGTGCCATTTGAAGAACAGTAGATTCTTGTTTATGCTGGAAATGTAAAGAGCTTTCATATTACTCTTACGCAGAGTATATACGGCGCGGATCTAAGAAGTCTGATTTTGATTAGATTGATATTGTTATAAGTGTTACTTATTGTCATTTTAATCACTGCAGTGCTTTTGCGAAAGGGCAACATCTTCGTGTCAACATCGTAACGGTACATGATTGGAGGGGAAGGGGACAAGTAGCAATATATGCAGATAAATCTACAGAACATCTCATATATTCTTGTAGGATATAATTCATAAGTCATAATTTGGACCAAAAGAGTAGGAGTCAATATTAGTAAACTAACTCTAAGTTGATGTTCTTATGTTCTGACAGCCATATCCAACTACCACTTTAAAAAAAGTTTTCTCTAATGTAAGTGACATACAGTGTATGACATGTCCAATACACTACTTATTCACGATACACATGATTTTATTTACGTTTTCAACTGGGTTTGTGATATGTAGACTGTAAGTCCAGTAAAAACTAAAGCACATGAGAGCCCGAGCAAAACTATAGAATGATAATATGTTTTTAGTTTCTGGTCAAATATGAATTTTAAATCCATTTTAGCACTGTTCTGTGTATTACTATTTTTTTTTTTATTTTTCGTTCAAACCAGCAGATGTGAGTATTGTTAATCACCATTACAGCAACAAAATGATATTTATGAAAATGGAAACAACAAAACCCTCAAAATTTTAAAGTATTTTTGTTATTTGCTTTGTGAGATATAATATTGTGAAAAGTTTGCAGATAATGTACGAAAAATAGGCATTCGATCTGCTTGGATTTGAGCAGTTTGGTAAAGCTGTTTGATTTATGCATGTATCATACATAGATGAAGATACCGCAGACTACTATATATCATTAGCATTGAAGAGGGGAACTTCTATCTTTGCAAGCATCAACGGATAAAAATCGTTTCAGCAAATGTCAGTTTCAGAAGTATTCAAAACAGACCATATTGGCTGGCTAGTCATTTTTTATGTAGGTTTGGAAACGCTATAATAGGAGGAAATAACTTTTTCTAAATCAATTAGTAAAGACTCGAATAACCAAAGACAATATTTTTGTCACTTTTTTACGAGCCATTGATGTGGTATTTGATGTTTATTTTGCAGATCGTGTCTCAACAAATGGAACACATGTTACACTGACACATTTGTCTGGCATCCCGATAACGATTTACATTATATTGTAATTGGAGAACAGTAATTGAAGAAACTGTATGTCAAATTTTTCCGGAAAAGACAACAGCTGTTTACCAATTACAAGGTTGTTCCAGTAACACATACAAGCATGTTTCAAATTTTAAATTTTAGACCTGATAGGTTATAAGTTTGAGGAATTTTTATGAAGAGCTATAAGACAATAAGAACTTTTCAAGATTGAAAGAACTGGTTGCTGAAGGATGCTTAAGTTACTTCTTCAACTGTGAATACAGTGTGTTGATATGTCAAAACTGACAAAGACAGATTTCTCATTGATGGCAAACAGACAACTAGACCTTATGATGACTTCAACTTTTATATTGTAAACTTCCCTTATTTGTTAAGTGTAATGAAGCGGTCACCCATCCAAGGGTATACAGGCTCGCCGTTGCTTAACTTGCCTGAAATAGAGGGAGACTCTACCGCATCACTAGGAAAGCTAGCTCAGCTCCACGGACACAAAGTCCGTACCTGGACCAGGGCGGCATTGGTTGCCGTTACTGAAGAGGTCTCAGACACTTAGAGAGAAGTCCTAGCGCTAGAGCTTCCTGAAGCAGGCCTAGAACCTCTTCAGTTACGGCAACCCCCTGCCGTCTACGGATACTTAGTCCGTAAATGGACACTAAGCCCTAGCTCTAAGACTTCCTGAAGCAGGTCGCCAAACACCAGAATCTCACCGCTGCCACCAATTTTTTTAGCGTAAAGCGGTCACCCATCCAAGGGTATACAGATTCATCGTTTCTTAACTTGCCTGAAATAGAGGGAGACTCTACCGCGTCACTAGAAAAGCTAGCTCACTAGCGAGGCAGTATAAGTTCCCTTTATACTGTCCGCTACATTTAGCAATTTACCATTTTCACCCGTATTGTTGAAATGGACTTTTGAGAATGATCATTGTTTGTTACACTTCATTCTCAAGTATTCCAATTTACATGTATATAGAAAATATATTCAGTCGCGGCAAAAAGAGTCGAGGTTGTTGAAAGCATAAACTCTCTTATTGCTAAATATGGATTTAACTTCAAAGATTCTAAAACCCCCATCATCCAATTTTGCAATCCAAAAGGAATGGTGTCTATCCTTGTTTCAAAGTTCTTCCAGGGTGGTGTTTATTTATTCTGCTCATGACTAGATGGTCAATCCGAATTCTCAAAAAGAGTTTTCTGTTTAAGGACACAGCATTAATTGGTAATGTCGGGTTAGGACCTTGGAACTGCCTGCTTTACTCAATGAACCACTCAACCAAGGCTCCGTAATCACACATGAAGGTTAAATATATATAACATAATTTAGTAAAAGTTTCAATTTTTTAAACCAAGGAACTTTTGATAGAACAACAAACCAACCTGTAGAGCGCCTGGATATTGTGGGTCCCAGGAAATGACAGGTATTCTTAAGTATTCCGCCATATTTATGATGAACTTTGGTGTGGGGTCCTTCGTTGGGTGTAATTGAAAATACAAAATAGTATTCACATGCGACTTGAAAATAGTTTCACAAAACATATCCAAAATTTCACGCGGATTTTCCTTGTCTATAATAGTAGAGTATTGCTTTAAGCGTAGATTGGAATATATGGGAGACTTTCTGAACACTCGTGTTCCCAGTGTATAAACTGCTTCGGAAAAAGTGGTTTTTAGATTTCCGTTCAATTTGGCTCGGTCGGGCATTATTAGAAAGATGGATACTTGTGTGGTCTGTCCATTTAAAATCGGTAATAATTCCATGATTAGAAACACCAACCAGTGAATTAAAATGAAACACATATTTCCATGTGTCACTTTTTTCGTCTTCGAAAAAAATTAAATTAAATCCTCTCTCTCTTCCCAGTGAAATTAAGGACCAAACGAAATTGTCCTTCTAAATTTTCTTTTTATCTTATGTTCCCGAACTAAATGAATTATCACATTAAGTCTTGTTATTAACCACTTTTATCGGAAATGAGTCAATTGCGAGTACGAAGTGGCACAAATTGTTGCTTGTCTGCTGCATGATTTGTTGTGTTGTCATTTCTTTTGCTGAAAGCATCTCGCTGCTTCGGCGTCCGATAATCTACACTATGCATTACTGAAGAGATACTGCAGTACTCTCAAAGGGCCTCTCCGGAATTTTAATATATACAGAATGGTTTCAGCTTCTTTAAGCCACTGAACGCGTCCGGGAAAATGTCCAGTGGTTTTAAACTTTCATGCCCGTTTTTGTTTCGAGCTTGTCGTGTCTAGGGATATACAGCTTCGTGTTTATTGATCTCAATAAATTGTGTAAATGTATAATATAGGTTTCGTTTGACTCGACCATCGATTATGAAATTTGTTTAAAATGGACATTTTATCAGCTAAGCATCCCAAATTATTTGTTGATTTTTAAAAAAAAAATTAAAATTATTAAAAATAAAAGCTTACAACTTACTATTTGGTTTAAATGTATACAATTTCAATTATATTTTTTAATAAGTTGGGTGTGACATAAACTATTTTCCCCCCAAAAAGGTTCGAATGATCCAAAAATAGATTTTCGAGAAAATCCTAAGTTAAATTTCTTCTCAACACTTAAGGAAGAGAAATATCTACCGTCTGTCTTTATTTTATTTAAGATGATAAAAAATAGCTTGTGTTAGTGCAATGGCTGGGCCAGTGGGCCGACAGTCGTCTAGCTTATAACAGACAAAGTTTCGTTTCTTTAAGGAGGCTGCGCTACACTATCGCGTTTCTCTTACCGCTTTTCTAATTCTGTTTAAAGCACTTCTTAGTCATAAAATGTCAATAAATACGATGATTCCAAGCAAATCTCAATTTAGCACGTTAATTGTGGCTCATTTATCAAATAAAAGGAATCTGCTCTTTCCATGAAAAATTGCTTGACGTTTGCGTTTTAACAAAATGTGTTATGTTCAAATAGACTCCTTGCTGGCGACACTGCTACATTTTACAAATACATCTCTATTTGGAAAAATTTCTCGCAGATTAATGGAAGAAATTTGGCAAAAGCTCGTACATCGATTTTATGCCAAAACGCAGGAGATGGTCTCTATTTCCTTACTCAAATACATTTGTTTAGTCTCTTAAAGAATGCCAACCATTAAAGGGGGCGACATACACGATATTAATGATTATATGAAATAAACCTTATATTATTAATATATCGGCTTTTGTTTATTTTATATCCTTACATATAAATACGAGTCCTTTTTATTGGAAAAGAGAAGTATAGCAATATGATATCATTTTTGCACCGAATAGCAGTATATATTCTACATGGTTTTACAAGATCTATTATTTTTTTAGGGGGAGAGGAGAGGAGGATCTTGTATATTGTAAATTAGAATGTCGCTTCCTTTTACTACCTTGTAAAACACACCACATTCTCAAAAACGATACATATTTATGAGAAAAAATGTGTAAGGAAACAATTTATAAAGGCTTACGTTCAAAGTGCCTTGGGGTGCTGTCGTGGTTGTTGTGTATTTTTTCTTTCATTGTTGACTTCTTTTTTTCATATCAATTTTTACCTTTATAAAGAATATATGTTCAGGTAATATACAGGTACTAAATTTTAGTTTTACATATGGCATGTCAAACGTTGCAGTATCCAATCTTTATTCCAATTGTTTTCATTAATTGTCTATTTGCATTGTATATTTTCTATTGTATACTATAATTTTATATTTGTATTATATACATGTGTAATTTTCCATTTGTATTGTATAATTTCTTTTTGTAATCTACAACTTCCCCTTTGTATTCTACATTCATTATTTATATTGTATAATTTGTTTTTTATTATGTAAAACGCCATTTGTATTCTATGATGTTTCAATTTTTATTGTAAGTGAATTTTACTTGTATTCGATAATTCTTATCATAGAATGCAACTAAAGGATAAGATATGGTAACGACCGAATTTGGCTCCTTGTTTGATATAAAAATCTTTACTGTGTTTTGATTTTTATCGTGGCCTCCATGCACGCCTAGCTCTTATGAATCTTATACCATACAAATTAATCCTAGATTTTTTCGGGCAGCGGCTGCTGCTTTTATTTTGCCTATATGAAAATTACTAAAAATAAAAATTGTACAAGCTCTTTTTTTTGCACGAGATTTTGAAAACCATTCATGGATTTTCTAGTTGAATAACTTTATGGACTGCAAACTGTAAGATAATTCAAAATCATTTTGAAGATCTCAATTTAAAAATCCTAGAAATTTGTGTTGAAAAAAGTAAAAAAAAAAAAAAAGTGTTGTCCTAAGAATCCTTTTGTAAATTATATTTTACATGTACACCCTTATTAATTAGGGGGACAAATCAATGATTTCCGTGTAAACATACCTGGTACCTCATTTCTTATGGTTATAGTCTAAATATCTTCAATCAATAGCTTTTCAAAAAAACTGATGACAAATGTCCATTTGTTCCCCATTCATAGCTATGAAATACTTGCCAAGGGTTCGATTCTCCACCGACAGATGTTACAAATTATCTGTAAAAAAAAATAAGCTAAAAAATATGAAAAAAATGTTACCCATTCATATGCAAATTTTATTGTACAATTAATTAAAAATAAATTGACGTGTGTATTTTTTTAATTATGAAATTACCTAATTTGCAGCATAAATCATATTAATAACACTGATATGAAGCAGATATGCATATGCTCCTTTTTATTGATTCATTTATATATTGATTCTAGTACATGGGAAGGAAATGAAGGAATCCGAGTAATTAGAGCTAGTATACAATCTAAAACATACGTACTAGTACTTCATAATTATTCCTGGATGTAAAATTAGGTTTAACGTTTGTACGTACCAAATACTAGTAAAGAAACTATATGTTTATAGATGAATATATATTACCTATTCTCGTTATTTCAAAAGTATCCAAATGATAACCTCAATGTTAAGCAAAAATTTCAAGAAAAACGAGTCACAGATTGTGTAGGAAAACAAAATTTATGATTGCGATTTGTATGCTTGATTTTTATTAAATGTTATCAATCTTAAGACAATGATGATAACTGCTGAAATATGACTTTTTTTTTTACAACTGAACTATTATTTGAAGTAGTATTTTGGGAATAAAACAAATCACTTACTTTGCATGTACGTAAGAAAGTTTTTTTTTTGATAAAGAGTTGTTTGCATAGCATTTTATACACTCTATGAATTCAGTAGTTAGAATGGAAATACAGAGCTTTGATGAAATAAGAATGCACATTTTGGATTTTTTTTAAGGAAACGAAACGATTTAAGGTTATAATAATTCCTCTATTAATCATATAAAATTTTGCTTTAGCACTTACGATGATTTTCCTTCATAAATAAAATGAAAACAATTTTAGCATAGTTTACGGGACAAAATTTGTTTTAAAAAAGAAAAAAAAAAGACATTGCATTAAGAGTTATCTCTCCTATCAGAGTATCAATAAACCTTAAACTTTTAAGTTCTCGGTCTAGACAAGGAATACAATCCTTCTTCTGGGGATTCAGTTTTGCGTTTCTCTTGGCAAAACAATTTATGCATATAATGATATCAAATTGATAAATATTACATAAAAATTCAGAATATGACTACCTATTAAATGTCGATTATTTAATTATGGACAAACTGGTAACACTTCCGTAACAACCGTGTCTATCTATCTGTCTGAAAACTAACCATGGTGGAAACATTTTTCTGAGTATTTCACAATTTCTCCTGAAAAATGTCGAAATTCAGAGGCGAACAGATCAATTATGCATCATATGTATGTTTTGATGTTGCTATGTTGCACCAATAAGTGAAAATTATTCATTTTGATATCTTGGTCTGATTTTATTGTGGCGTGATGAGGATCCATCAACCCACAAAAGTCTAACGTAATATTATGCCTTTCCATCAAAACTATATCATATTTGCCGTAACGTTATTTTATTGACAAGTGTGGGATCTGTGTTATACAGACAGGATACTCTTAATAGCAAGATATCATTAAAGTTAGAGTGGGCATTAACGCATCACTTTTATTATATTATACCATATCATTCCTCTTCTTATTTTTTGCTTTCTGAAAATTGGCTCAAATGAGCCGAGATGAGCTCATTCATTGACCAGTAAAGTCAAGTCATAAAGCATACAGGTTTTCGTGGAATATAGAAACTTTAACAATTAGGTTAAGATATCACACAGGAATCCTACTCTACTTAATGCCGTTCTTGTATGAAGTAGATCATATGGTAGATCCGCATGTAAGTTTGTGTTGATAGTTGTAGCAATTCATCATAGATGTGCAAAATTAAAAATATTTGACTAAAATTCTGAAGAACTTTTCAAACCGTTAACGATATTATTAATACATGATATACTATCCTTTGTTCGTAAACTAAGAGCACACATATAATCGTAGTGTTTCATGCTTCAAGAAGAAAATGGTCACATTCTCCGAGAAAAAAAAAACTGTTATCATTGTTTGAATCATTTATATTCATTTACATAGTTTATTTCGTAGATATTGACCATCTGAGACAAAATCCTCCTGTGTTCTTGTTCTTCCCCTTATTTCAACTATAGTCCAGCTGGACACCTCATTAGTGGTGATGCAAGTATGGTTCAAAATGACGACCTAAAAGCTATTATTATAAAAAGTCCTAAATTCATGGAGCCCAGATCTTTCAAATTAGAGACAGGACTTAATTTCTAATATGAATTCCATTAGGAGTATGCTATACGATGGGCTTAATATGAAGGGGAAGACCTTGATACTCTGCCAGAATGGAATAGATGTTTTAGATTTATATTTTAAAAGAATCGCATGAGAAAAATAGAGGGCAAAATGCAAACTATCTAATCCCTCTGTTTTCAGTAGACCAGAAGTGATAAAAGAATTACAAAGACTATATGAACAAGATGTGTTTGTGAAACACTGATGCCCCCATATGGCAGCTTATGGCAAAGGTTAAAGTTTCTCAAATCTAATTCAAACTTCAAGGTCAAGATCAAGAGATCAAAAATGTTGTTACCCAAAGAAATGACCTGTGTCAATGGATATACCTGGTAAATATGAAAGCCCAAGCACGAACCATTCAAAAGTTATGATCAAGGTTAATATTTTCTAAAAGTTGGTCAAACTCCAAGGTCAAGGGGTCAAAATAAATGGTATGTAGGCGAAGACCTTGTCATAAGAAATACACATGCAAAATATAAATGCCCTAGCACCAA